TCGCAAAACCCTCAATCATTTCCTTTGTTTTATGCCCTGATCTTGAGTTTTTTTGGTGACAGGTGACTGGTGACTCGGGATACATCGAAGAGAACTTATATATAACCCTACTAGGCTATAATACTACTATATCAGCTCTCTTTACGCTTATTAGGGATCTTCCTATTATAAAATATTAATATAAATACTACTATATAAAGTAGTGAGATGAGAATATAATTTACTTTACACATTCGTCTAGTGTGCCTTCAAAAGGCTATTAGAAAAGAATAAAAAGAGCAAGAAAGAGATAAGTTACCTCTACGCTAATAGCCACGTAGAAAGAGCTATATGCGCAGAAGTCTCAAATACATCATGACGGATCAAGATCCGCTTCTCCTTGGTCTTAGTCTATGACTAGACCGTCAGCAAAACCCCTAATCTACCGCCGAGACAAGAGCTGAAGCATGACAGGAATGGTAGGGCCCGTATATACGGACGGAACGAATATAAGCAGTCAACTCATGATTGATCCTATCTCAAACTATGAGGTGCAATCTATGGATAAAAAAGGTGGTAGGAGACCTAAATGAAGAAGAAGACGGGAAAGAATCGCAAGGGTCACTGTATATGCAAGACAACCCTCTCACGAATCCCATGGTATCGTGAATGTGAAAAATCAAGACCAAGCGACCCTCACTTCCACATTGCCATTCTGTCCTGGGATTGGAAGGCTAGCCGACCGCAAGACTTGGGGCTTGAAACTGACTGATCCTGTCGCTATATTGTCATTGAAGGACTCGGGGTCGTGGTCTGTCAGATCTACATGAACCTCGAGGGTATCGTCCATTGGCACGGCCATGACAGCTCTCGACAGAGGAATCTTTTTTCCTTGGCCTATCTCGATGTGCTCATTGTCCGCCTTTTGGAAGAGCTGGCGCTGGACAAACCTGCTGTGCACCCTGACCGTCCCAAAAACATTGGCAGGATCCTCGTTGTCTCCGTTGACCATGACGACTTCCACCAGAGCCTCTGCGGCGTTGCTCATCACCACGTAGTCGACCTTGCCTTGGCCGTATGCGCCGCTGATTGGCTTTGGGATGGGCACGTCGTACTGGTTACTCGCGTTGTAGACGTTCCATGAAAGCTGGTCCTTGATAATCTCGTCGTCGTTGGATATGTCTCTGTCCTTGTCCACGAGATTGAAATCAATGACGAAGCTGCCGGCGGCGGAGATGGTTCGAGATGGACCCGTGAGCGCGACTCGGTCGCCTGGAGAGACGGATTGGTCGTTGGCTCTGTCGACATTGTAGAGATATTGACTGCTCAGGCCGTCGGTCGCTGTGATGGTGCCGTAGAGGTCGCCCGGATCCTCCTTGTCAATATTGTCAATCTCCAGCCAGAGAATCTCGGCCAGAGGGCGGCCAGAGGGAATCAGTGCCTGGGCCTGGCGTCGAGGCCTGGAGCCGCCGTCGATGGAGTAACGGAGCAGGACGCCAATCACAGCAACTGCATCCGTCACCGAGTTGATGCCCATGGCGTTTGGTCGGGGAAGCTGTATCTGGCCCTCGGGATTCTGATCATGACGAAGCAACGCTGTAGAAACGTCCCCCCAGCCGTTTTCGAGCGCCGTGAACCGTTCGTCAGGTGTAACGCCCTCGCTGTAGTTGTTGGTGATGGTGTCGGATATATGGGTGAACCTGATGGCTTCGCATATCATCTGGATAACGACAAGCAGTGAACGTGCTCTTTCACGACGGTCAGCCGTGGTGGCAAGCTGGTTTACGGCCGTGGTAAGCTGCTGCTGGCCAAGGGCGGTTTCGCTTCTGCGCCGCGCCGCAGTCGTCTGCAGTGAGTTGTAGCCACCATCAAAGCCCAAGTGCGTAGATCCGTCAATCAGTTGCGGGTCGACATTCGCCACGCCGAATTCGAACCACTGATCAGAGTCCTCTGCTCGGTACCCGTCCAGGTAAAGGTTGTCGCTTCGGATCCTCAGTCTCACAGCCTGAGACTGGGTACGCAGCACAATGTCGAACCAACTAGTGGGCGGCATCCGCTGAGGAGGGAGAACGGGGCGGCCATGCGAGGAAACACCAGAATCCTGGACTCTGCGGCGGATTCGCTCAATGAAGTTCTTGTACACTTCTTTAGTACTCAGGTCAACCTTTAGTTCTTCGGCCGGAGTGTCATCCCGCCGCTCTAGCTGCTCGGACTGGCGGAAGAATGGAAGGCCAAACTTGAGCTCCTCGACGTTGAGGCTATGATCAATGTTGCTACCGCTGTACTCTAAGCCTTGGGGCACGATGTTGCCAGGCTCACCGGGAAGGGGGCTGGCGGCCGTCAAGCTCAAAGCGGCAAGGGTAAGTATATGAAATTTCATAACTGAAATCTATCTCTTTTATAGAAGCAGTGAATGGGTGACTGAAAGAAAGAATAGATCCTGATGCCCCGATGGTTGGTGGAAACGGTTGGAGAAGTAAGGTGCTACAGCGGCGGCTTTATATGTCACGACTGGAGCAGACGGAAGATGAGAGCATGTCCTGCAATCTCAAAAATTGATCAACTTGCTTCATCATGGGAAATGGCCATGTCATGCTGTCGCCCCGGCCATCCCATGGCAACGCCGTCTGGCATTGACATGATTGCCTTGATATCAATCCTATAGTGGTATCATTGGCAAGTGGCATGAACATTTAACGTGCAAATTACTTTGTGTTTAAGCTTGTTATGATCCATGCATTCGCTTGGCGCCTGAGGTTGATTAATATGCAAATGGGCAGTAATATAACACTTGCACGAGTTTGAGAGGAGAGTAGTATCCGTGCATCAAGCCAAGGCGGAGTGTATGCATACTGAAAGCTCACCTTACCTGCACTGCCCTGACGCGGTTTTACGAGTAAAAAAGTAAGGCTCTAATCCGTATTTTCTGGCTCCATTCTGTAAAGTAGGACGTAAATTTTCTTAAGACTTCTAAGTTTATAAAGGCACTTGAACAGGAACCTTTTTTCCTTGGTAGAGGGTTACCGCCTAGTAAGGACTTGTAGGGTAAAGGGAAATCCGCTATTATGGTCGTACTTCTGGTATTGGGATAGAGTAGGGACAATGAGGGTCCATTTTAATCAATTAAACTCATCTACTGCGCACATAAATTTGTCTGTAGGAGTTAACAATGAGGAATCGGTTGGAGCGGAAAGGGCAACGGAGTTGGGCTGATTCATGAAGTACATGAGTCATGGGCAATCAAGACAAATTCAGACAAATTGGATTGAGATCTACGCCATCCTATTTAAAAACCTCTCGCAGCTACATCCAGTGTTTCTCGTAATGCCTGGGCTGCCTGAGAGGGACGGACTCGCGCGAAAACACGTGAGAACACTGTGGCCCAACCAACCTAATCATACCATGGTCACGATAGCAATCAAGACGTTATGCTAGATGATACGTATTAAAGTATAATAATGGATTTTTTTGAGTCATGAAAGACTATTTATGGAAAAGTATGTCAACTTGAATGACTATTGGCCAACAATCAGTTGTATTATGTACAGATATCAGGCGTTGGCCTACTCTGTGGAAAAGGCCGCCCAAAGGCCCACCGGCTCTAACTGCCGACATTATCTGCAAACCGTAGTCAATCCGCCTACCTAATCAGTACCAAATTGACAAGCTACAAAATGAAGAATGCAACAAAAGCAGACAAAATCGCAATTGGTCTAGTAAGAGCGCTTCTCATCATCCGAACCCGTCAGGGGAGCCGAGTTGCGACCTTGATGCTTGGCCTGCTCCACCACCTCAAAGTGGTAGAGCGGCGGCTTGGTGGCATTCTTCTGCAGCAGCACGTGGCGCTTAAAGAACCAGGGCAGGGCGACCGTCACCTGGTAGTGGGCAAACTTGCGGACGGGGACGGCAAAGACCCAGTCGAGCTCCTCGAGCGAGCGCTGCATGGTCTCGGGGACGAAGAGAAAGATGAGGACAAACGCCACGACGTTGAAGCCGGCGTAGACTCCAAACGCGCCAACGGGCTTGGCCTCGTGCAGCAGAAAAGGGAAAGACGTGCCCAGGACGGCGGCCCAGAAGAGACAGGTGGCGACGGCGAAACCCATGCCCGTCTCACGATGCGACAGCGGGTAGACTTCGGCACTGTAGGTAAAGGGCACGGGGCCTTCGCCCGGGGAATAAAACGCGGCAAAGAGAAAGACAAAGAGACAGACGAGGCCGGTGCGGAGGTCGCCCAAATCCTTGTCGATGAGGGTGCAGAGACCGGCGGCGAGCAGCGTCCAGAACATCTGGGGAAAGGTAAAGAGCAGCAGGCTGCGGCGGCCAAAGGTGTCTATGGTCCAAAAGGCCGGGAAAGCAAAGAGCCAGTTGACCAGGCCGAAGCCAAAGGAGCCAATCATGGCCTTGAACTCGGGAAGACCCGACTCCTTGAAGATGGAGGTGGAGTAAAAGGCAATAATGTTGATGCCGCACATTTGCTGGGCAATCATGACGACAAAGGCAGAGAGGTTGGCGCGACGCACGCGCGTGACGGTGAAGAGCTGCGCGAAGCGGCTGACATAGTTGGTCTTGCTGAGAATCTGCTCCTCAATCTCGAGCTGCGTGCCAATGTAAAAGATGTCGCGAGCCACCTGAATCTCATTGTGCCGCAGCACCGACATGGCCTTCCACGCATCCGCAAAGCGGCCCTTTTTCATGTACCAGCGCGGCGACTCCGGGCACAGATAGATGCCGACCAGCAGCGGCACGGCGGGGATAAACGGCGCGCCGAGCATCAGGCGCCAGTTGATGTGGGGGACGTGAAAGACGGCCAGGTTGAAGGCGGTGCCGAGCATGATGCCAAAGGCCGTCCACATTTGCCAGGACATGACGAGGGCGCCGCGGATCGAGGCCGGCGCGTTCTCGGCCGCGTAAATGGGCACCGTCGAGGCCTTGGCGCCCATGCCGATGCCCATGAGCAGCCGGCACGCGAGCTGCTGCTGCCAGGTGTGGCAAAAGGCGGAGCCGATGACGGGCCAGATGCAAAAGTGCGCCGAGAACCAAATGGTGCCGCGGCGGCCAAAGTAGTTGTTGAGGGGGTCGGAGAGCCAGCAGCCTATGAAGCTATTCATTGCCCCCGTCACCATGTTAGTGCACTTGCTCGGCATACATTGGAGAAAGGTTGTTTTGGGGAGGGGAAGGAGGCGGGGGAATGGCAAACTTACGCGCTGCCAATATACGGAGCGGCATTGATGAGACCGACGAGAATCTGCTCGCGCGCGCTGTCACCGCCAATGCCATAGTAGCTCGGAAAGAAGATGGTTGCGCCATTGGCACCCGTCTGGTCCCAGCCCTGAACGGCCGCGCCAATCGAGCACATGGCAATGGTCCAAAACAGGCGCGCGGGCATGGTCCACTTGTTCTTGCTCTCGCGTTCCAAGACGGCGAGCTCCTCAGTCGTCAGAGCCTCATCGCCGTCAATCCGGTCAATGTCGGTCGGGTTCTGCGCGACGAGGGCGCCTTTGCGCAGGATGGAAATGTGCTCAGAGAGACCGCGTGAGCGGGCAAAGTCGTCGACATTGCGCATGAGCTCATCGCGGGGGATGCCGTCGAGCGGGTTGCGGATGCGCGACTCGAGATCGCGCTCGGCGACGACGTCTTCGGCGTGGGTGGTGCCTTTTTCAGCGTAAATGTCGGCGACGGCGGCCTTGCTAATGTCGTGGGACATGGTGGGCCGAGTCTGCCTTGTGGTTCCCGTGTACAAGGACTAAATATGAGGGTGCTGTATTGAAAATGAAATAGGTAGATAGAGTATTGTAAAGTCAAGTAAAGCAAAGTAAAGGGTCAGGTGGCTGAGGTTGAGTGCGTCGAGGGGAGCCACTTGTATAAGATGTCTAGGACAAGATGGAAAAAGAATAGGAAAGAGGGGGGGATGATCAACAGCGGGGGGAATGTCTGGAGTATAAAAAGAGAATTTCGGAAGAGAGACCGGGCGGTCCATCCTTTCCCCCGGTCGGGCTCTACTATGCAGACATCTGAGTATGGGGATGGTTGCGGATAGACGAGGCGCAACGCCAAGCCTAGCGGTCCCGGGCCAAACAAGGTCAAGGTACATGAAAACAGCCGAGTAACTGACGAGTAATTAGTGCCATGTAGAATACGTTCGTAGAATACAGGCGGTGTCGGCGGCCCCTTGCCCAGTGCGGCCAATGTTGCATGCCAGCGAGGAAGGGACCAACACAAGCACGGGGAGCATCCTGGACTGGGTCAGTAGCGTGGCTACGGTTTATTAGGGCGATGCTTAATGGAATAGTTAAATTAATCGACATCCGTACTGGTAATAGCCTAATAGGCCAGTGCTTCTTTAGCGGCTGAAGAGTCCCCCCTCCATGCTGATGTGGAACGGACGGGGTAGTCCGAGTGACGAACCCTTGCCATTTCTAGCGTCATGATTCTTGAGACAGTTGAGGAAAACGTTTCGTATTGAAGGCACATTGAAAAAGGAACCAAGTCAATTGGCGGGTTAGACCTGAATGCCAACTTCAGCAGGCTATTTATCTTCTTTCTGTAATAAGTAATGTTCCCACTCGGCAGTGATTATGCTGGTACATTGTCTTGCTCGCCATACTTTGACCGCCCCAGCGTACCAATAGCCGACGCCACAAAGACGACTTGACAATACTGCAATACTAACTCTGGTACTTAGTCGCTGAGAGATTGGAAAGTATGTGCCATCAGGGCCATTGCAGCAACAAAGCGGCGACTAGGCCAGGTATTGATGTACAAAGTAATCATGCAAAGCATGTTACCTTCTGCCCCCATCATGTAAGTTATTCTCCAAATCGCGTGGGTCGTGTCAAGCCACAAGCCACCAAGGCCACTCACTCCAAGAGCTTTTGAGCCGCCCCGGCTAGGCTGTGGTTGCAACCGGCGCTGCTAGGCCGCCCAAAAAGGAAATCACACTTGCCCGCCCATACCAGACTTTATTAGAGCAGCTGATGTGAATCAAGACGACGAGACATTGTCCCTCCCGCAAGCAATCTATTTGTCTCAATCGCAAGCATCGCCACCCGCGCCGGAAGATTATCTCTGGTTTGCCTCGAAAAGTATTTCGACGGGGTATCTATTAATCCAAAGAGTTGAAAATCCTGTGGCTGGTTGATCTCTGCGAATCATGCGACTGCTACTCGCGCCACCATCTCTGCCGAATTGTGTGGCTTGCATCTGGTTCCACTATAATCATTGTGGCGTCCTTTAGCGTTATTTTCGTGCGGCTCCATTTTAGGCAACAGAATTCCACGAATGCTGATTGGATAAGCGGGAGCTAGGTGGAGCCTGGTTCATCTGGTCGCCAAGATCTGCCCACGAGAGTCCGGGCTTTTGTCCGTCTTGCCCATCAAGTAGTTATGCGCGCGAGGAACAACAACCTCTTTTCTATGCAGACTGGAACTCGGCAACTCGATCGACCGTTACTCGAGAAACATCCAACAGTTGTAGCATTTTTCTCATGCTTCTTTTGATGCGCCCGTAGTCTCAAAAGCCCCCTCGAACGATTGCCACACGACTCGTGAATACCCCAGCTCTCGATCCCGTCGCACCCCCACGGGGACGAGGAGAACTCTCGTCCGTTATTCCTTGATTCGCTCGTTATTCTGCTGCCTGGTGCAAAAAAGTGGTTCAATCGTCTCTCCAAGTCTCCATAGAGTCCACCTTGAGCCCCAGCTCCCCTGGCTCCATGTTTAATGAGAACCATCAGTCCAAGTATTGTTTTCAACCACCAACGCAATGATCATCGCCGTGACCTGAGAAACTGAGCTCATCTTGGCCATGGCGCCACGTTTGAGAACATTTTTTTTTACCGAGCAGTGCCAAGCACCTCCACACGCCAGCCTCTTTGGGCAGACTAGAGAATTATTTAGCACCTGGAACCGTTTTCGCTACTCCGCAATCCGGCTATAAAGTCGTGCTCATGAAACCCGTACCACGACGTCCGGAGCTAAAAAAGTCCATCGCTCCCAGTATAATTCATCTCTGCGTCGCTTTGCATCTGCATTCGTGCCACACCAAGTACACATGTGACATCACTGCTCCTTGGCATGCTAAATGCGTGACTAGCAGCAGCGGCTTGCCAAAAATGGTATGCCGCATTCGGCCTTTTTCTTCAAGTGAGCTGCTCTCAGTCACTGTGGCGCCAGGACAAGCGTAATATCTAGACTCCAAAAGGTTCTTGTGTTCTTTTTCGGTGAACTCCCGTGGCTCCTAAAGGCTCCTTCATATCATAGAAACGAACTTTGTTCGGCGCATTGTGGCGCCCGCCTTGAAACCCCAGCCCGGCATGCCATTGCAGCCGTCTCAACGTCCGCCTTATTATGGGGTCAGCTATCAACCGCTCGCGCCAGGGCCATCCTACAGTATAATTTAGTCGGGGCAATAATGCTTCCTATTGCGGGCGTCCCCGGAAATGTGGCCAAAACGATCCACAGTCTGGAGTAGCCTCAGCATGGATCATTAAAGACGAAAAGAAGCTTCACACCAGTTCGTTAGTCTGCCTCAGTGGTGGGCAACGGTCACTCCACCTGTTCTAGGCTGCCGAATTCTCTATACATTGACTGGGCAGATTTCTGCTCTGCCCCTCAAATCAGATTGTCCTATCAACATACAGCTTTGATGCTGTCAGCCACGTTTATGCGCGACCAGTTTTCGTGGGGTATCTGTTGCATTGGTGGTGCACAGCCTGAAATATTCTTTCGATATTTGGCTAGTCGACCAGGACGCTGCCCTTTAGAATTTCAGACTATCTAAAGCCCTTTACACAGGACAAGCCTGAAGCTGGTGAAGCATTGCATGTAGTTGCCGAGGTGATAGCTGCCGCATTGACGAGGCGTTGATCCGCCAAAGAGCTGTCGTTTGACTAGGCAGAGAAACGCCTACAAATGTCTTGATAAATACCTCGGATCATAAAAACCAAAGTTTCACTAATTAACCTCTTACAGCCGTTGCACTACGCAGGAAAATGTGGCAAGCCTGCAAAGACCAGCTGAGGCTGGCGTATTGCAGCCAGCCTCGCCCAGTTTTGCGTGGCCGCGGATCTAACCCAGACTATACCCATCCTTAACCGCTAGTAGACTTGCCTGGATGAAAACAATTGCCAAACCAGTCTGCTATTTCCGGATATTGTTCTCTTCGCTTTCGCCCACGGTGCTACCTCTGCTTCATCTCGCTCCAGCCCGAATGGTCGATGCCTTGGCTGCTTGGCTGCCTGATTGCCTGTTGTGACCTTTGCAATTTCATTATTCCATCTAAAACTACAGTCTGGCGTGATCTGGAGACGTAGTAGAGATGAGAAGAAGTCGTGATAATGATTTCAAAAGATGGGCAATATGATTTACGAACGAGTGTCGTCCCGGCTGTCGTCGCACTCAAGACTCGACTATAGTCATGTTCAACGAGGCATCAGACCAGCTCTCAATTTCCATTCCGATTGAACTCTAGCCTATCATGTCAAAACACAATGTGTTTCTCTCCAAAAGAATTTTTTTTTTTTCTTTTAAAAAAAAAGCAGCGCGCCACAAAAAAGTTGACCGGTTCCGCTTCCTCTTGCGCGTCACACATTGGCTACCGACCGCCGCATTGCCTCCATCTCAATCAACAACCTCGTCCAACCCTCGCACCAAACTGCACTAGTAGTTACACTGAATCATCGCCATCCACTGCATCAGCGACCAATACTCGGTCAATCAAGCATCATGTGTGATTCACAAATCCAACCACGCAGGCATAAAAGCAGGCCTCTTTGCCCACCACAAACATTGCTGCTACACAACACACCTCTTACACAAATTCTTGCATCGTCCAATTCGTTGCCATCATCGCTCCGTAATCAAAACTGTGTGCTTCCTGTCCCCTTTTTTTCTTTTGATTCGCTACGTCTCTTTGCGCTCGAGGCAGGGGTCGTGCCGCTCTTGATGCCAATCCAAGAACAGATCCGTGTCGAGACCAAAAACTTTGCCCCCGGCGTCCTGCCGCTATCTGCGCGCACATTTCGCTTCGTATCGTGCTTGCGCATCGTTACAGGTGACGACGACATCCCGCTGCATTTCGTTTGCCTCATTACGGCGGCCTTTTACAACGACGACGACCAACCCGTCTGGAGTCGTCGCGTTCTCCTCTACAAGATCATTCCCGAAAGCCACCACACTTCTGCTGCGAGCCAAGGTTCGTCTTTCCCTTACTCAAAGAAAACATTGTGGGGGGTTCGATGCTAACAACGAGTACAGATCTTGTCGAGTACCAGCGCTTTCCAGAATCCCAGCAGAGTCGCGCTCAAGACGACGACGCCACTTCTTCAGCGTCTGATGATAGCCAACGTATGCTTTTTCTTTCCCAAAATAGTACGAGTGATTGCCACTGACACAATACACAGTTATCAGCCACCTGACACAAGAGGAGTACCATCAGCAGCTCGCAAACCGCTGTGAGGATCGCACACCCGTCGCACATTACAACCACCAGCATCACCCTGTGGGATACCACTTACACGCGCAATATCAAGGTCACGCCCACCATCAGATTCACACAAACAATCCCACCAGCCCACACCCCCAGGCCTACTTAACCCCCAACTGCGCCATTCACTCCCCCAGTACCTTGAGTTCGAACAACCAAATTATCGCAACAACCGACCGCCCCTCGAGTGCCGGCCACTGGTACACGTCTTTTAATCCGCAAGAGCGTCGCTGGGTCAATACCTGGCAGCCCAACTGACTCTCGCACCGTCCCTCTGTTTCCCTTTGCGACCACTCTTTTACCCAGATCCAAAAAATGTCTGGCGGCTGGAACCCCGTTACGGGCCGCGACAATCATGGCGGCCGTCCCAACTTTGCGCCGCAGGGTGGCGGCCCCATGCCTTCTCAAGGCCAAGCCTATATTCCGCACGTCGGCGGACCGGGCTTCAATTTTGGTATGGCTCCCCCGTTTGCGGGCTATCCCGGCATGGGTGCTTACGGTGGTTACATGGCAGCGCCCCCTCCAGGCGTCGCCGGCTTCTTCCCGCAGTCCGGCATGATGCCGCCTACGCAGATACCTTCGGCAGGACTCTACACGCAGCAGAGCTTCTCGTACCAGCCCAACGGCACGGGCAACATTCTCCCGCGGCAGCCGCAGCCCTACCCCAACATTGACCCGACCATGCCCGCCGCGCAAATGACCAACAGCTCCGGCGGCGTCGGCTGCGAGCCCGGCTACAACTACTTCTTCCCCGCCGAGCACACCAAGGCGCACATCTTCAAGACGAGCACCCCGCCGTGGCAGCTCCCGCCCACGGCGCAGATCCCCTTCAAGGCGACGCACATCCCCTGCACCACCACCATGGCCGAGCTGCTCATGGGCTTTGGCTGCACCAACCCGGTCGCCAAGAAGAACCGGTGCTTCGAGGTCATTGGCGGCGGCAGCGGCAAGTGGTACAAGGGCCTGGCGATTAGCGGCGACGACAAGGACATGATGAAGAAGACGATCAAGGAGGTGGGCTGGGACATGACGAGGACGGGCAACGCGCACGAGAAGCCGATTGTGTGTCTGTGGTTCTGCAAGGATTAAGAAGGATATATGATTTTGATGGTTCGGGGGGGTAGTCTAAGGCGTTGTGCAAGGATGAAGAAGGATTGATTTGATGGGTCACGAGATGAAGCAAGTGTTTTAGAGTGTCCGAAATACTGAGTGGCATTGCATGTCGAAATCGTTTTTGCTTCTTGTTTGGATTTCTTGCCCGTTTCGGCGTGTTGGGACATGAGACAGCAAAAAGTTGCTCTTTAGCCAGTATTTCATTTACCAGTAGCTACACGAATCATGTTTGCGAAAACAAATGATTAAGTCAGGATTTGCAAGTATCCGTGCTGAGAGAGTAAAAATAGAAGAAAAAAACGACAAAAATAGCAAATCAAAGCTCCGAGTGCTAATGTATCTCTAATGCAATGCAAGTCGCGCCCTAATCATCATCATCGCTGTAATCCGGCACCACTCTCACCATGCCCAGCCCAATCTTCCGCGGCGACGTCTGCTGCTGCTGCTGCTGCTGCTGCTGTTGCTGCTGCTGTTGCTTGTCCACACTTCCCTTTCGCCGTCTGCCCGCCTCCGACACCAGCCCTTTCAGATACACCTCGGCCTGCACCGTCGCGCTGTACGCCGCCGGCGTCCAGTTCCACATGTTGCGGCGGTCCACGTCCGCGCCGGCCGCCAGCAGCGTGCGCAGGCACAGCAGGCTCCCGCTGGCGCTGGCAAAGTGCAGCGCCGTGTTTCCCTCTGCGTCGGCTCTCTGGACGGCCTCGAGCGGGCCGCCCGGGTTGTACGTCAGGAGCAGCTGGAGGACGGTGTCGTGGCCGCCGGCGCAGGCGTCCATGACGGCGTCGCGCCCGCGGGCGTCGCGCCGCAGCACGCAGCGGGCGTCCCGCTCGCACAGCAGGTGCACCACCTCGCTGTGGCCCGCCGCCGCGGCCAGCATCAGCGCCGTCTGGTGCTTCTCGTTGAGCGCCGACGTCGGGTCCTCGTGGCCCGCGGCGAGCAGCGCCGAGCACACGGCCGCGTGGCCGAGCGAGGCTGCCAGGTGCAGGTTCGAGTTGGACTGCCCGGCGGCCGAGGTGTCCGGGTTGTGCAGGAGGTGCGCGTGGGATCGGAGGATGCGCTCGACGAGAAGGGCGTCGTCGGCGTGGATGGCGCGTCGTAGACGGATCGCGGGGTCAATCCTAAGAGGAAGACGTGTTAGCTCTGGGCGAGAACGGATAGATGGGGGAACGTCATGGTCGAGCTTTTACATATTCAAAGGCTGCTCATGTTAGGATCGGTCGTGGCGGAGGTGCGACGTGGACTGCACAGCCTCGCCAGCGAGGTGAAGTGAGATGGAATACCGCGACGAGTTGTGTGGATGCGCGAGCAACAATGTAGGGGTTGTGTGACGTCCACCTATTGTCCGTTTGAATATTACTATAACCCCGTTATGCATTTACAATGTTCACCAAAATGATTCGACAACCTTGATTCTTCGATAACTTTCGATTCGGATACTACAAATAGTATAGAGTTTGTATCATTCAAACCATCACGAGGCGGATCAAAACTCAGAAGAGGTATTGTATGGCAACTTGTTTAGTGGATTTTCGGGTGTTCTTGAAACGTCAACCAAGTCTTGATATTGTCAACATGATCCTGCGGTAGCGATTTCAAGGTGCCGCGCAACCTGAAAGTCTACGAAAAGAAAGCTCGTTTATCCTCATAATTAGATGTTTGTTCAAGTTTGACACGCAACTTTACGGCGTACGGCCTTGTACAATGCCAAAGGCGGACCTGCCCTAGATGGGCTGGCCGGAGGTGGGGCCGATGTGGAATGCCCAATTTGGATGCACACCATTACAAAAGGAATGCTCTCTTTAGGCCATTCCGGGTGATCGTCACTTGCTGCTGTTGTCTTGATTGACATATAATTCACTCCGAGCACCCAACATAGCAGACGAAAAAAGTCAACTTACTATACCATAGCGCAGTCATCTGTATACTCAAGCGAAATTTCCATATTATCCCAAGGCAGACTTTACGACATGGCCGGAGCTCCAATTGTTTATCCCTATGACCCTCCCAGCAGGCCAAGTAGATCGCCCGACGGACTGCCCTTGGTGGACTTGTACTCGGGGCTTGGCCACGAACCAACGCCGCTACCCAAACACTTGACACGAGTCTTGTATATCCCAGAACACGATGCCCCTGGCTTTCCAGTGTACGAAAGCACCAGAGAGTTCCAACGAGTCATCTATGAATCACCCTTTGGACGCGGAGAGTTCATGCCCCCGCCATTAATGGGCAGCCGACTATTCAACATCCGAACGTCCATGATCAATCGTCCTAGCGGTAATGGCAGAGACAATGTTCAATACTTGGTCGTCCCTGATACAGTACCGGGTGATGACGGACATAGGTCTGTCAATGTGAGGAAGCGCGATCCTCACAATATTTGCCCAGATATCAATGTGTAAGTAAACCAGACCGGAAACTTCCTACCAATTGTCGCATGACTCACTCACATCTGCAATAGTAAGCTCCCGTTGCGAGACCACAGCTTCAGCTTGACGATTGGTTGCGACAAGGGGTCTACCGACACAGTGCTCGTGCGTGCATTTTTCCCTCTACCAGATGCGCACAGCTACAAGACCACAATTTTCTTTCCGTACTTTGCCTTTTCGTCGCGCTCGGGCTATGAGCGGTATCAATGGGAGGTGCACCCAATTCAAGATGGACCAATGCGGTATACATTGATGTCAAATAAGGGTAAATCCGAGGATACATCAAGACGCCAAGAGGGCGATATCAGAGCTATTTATTACCACGTCGGATGTGGCGGCTCCGTTTTCCAGCCACACAGCGAAGGAATATTGCTGCTGCCGGAAACTAGCGTCGATGGGCCGGAACTGGAGGAAGAGGTCGTTGTTGCAAGTCTAATTGGTGTATTGATGCGGGTGCGGTCAATGAGATATGTCGAAAAGTCGAAAGGGACCAGTCCAAAGCAACGGGATAAGCCCTTGTTCAAGCGACTTTTCCGCTAAGAATTATTGTTGCAACACCAAGGTCATCGTGCTGCATGGCCTGACCAACCATTAGTATACTCCGCTGCATTCATAAAATACTCGCCGGATCATCTGGCTGCACAAATATCATCTCCTATCCATTCTGTACACCTGAAATCACTCCCCAAAGAGCAAATGTGCAGCAGCCACTGTCCTGCAAACGTAACATTGACCACAGTCAGGATGTGAAAGGCTTTCCTCGGAATATTCGAGTCATGCTTATATGGTTTACAGAAATAAAAGAGTTTGACGCTGCGGTGCTTGTACGATCAAACGACCCTTGAGTTCAGTCACCTGCCCTTGCCGTGCACATGCCAGTAAATAGTACCCGTAACTAAGCAATCCTGTTGACTGTTGATACAGTCTCGAACAGAGGATTCGTTGTAATTAACGAGTCACTAGTTACTTCCGTCCACAGAGATGATAAGACTGTATGACCGATAGGCCTAACAAGTGGTAGCAATTGCTCTAACAATCCGTGCGACTTTACACCTCAGAGGGTGCCCGCCACGACCTTGAGAGCCGCCTCCAGGATCAGCGATTAGCCCTGACCAGCCATCAGACCTTAGCTGGTAGCAATTGGTACTGGCAGTTCTGCGTTATCTTGAATAAATACGCAAAAATCCGCTACTTCACGAAATTCGGTGTAGAATATAGCAGGACGGGGGACTCTTCTGGCTGAGGAAGAGGAACGTGGGCATTCTCTCCTTAAGATTTAGCTGTTCAGCCTGATCTCGGAGGAATCGACGTGTTGTCGGCTCGATTGAACGTTCTCACTGCAAGAGGTGTGCCCGGCGATCAAATTAACGGTTCCATCCTGGTGGTCGCATGGATTGTTAGAGCAATTGCTTTCACTTGTTAGACCTATCGGTCATCCAGTTTTGTCGTCAATCAGGCTTGTCGTCTTCGTGTCGTCTCTGTTGGACGGAACCAACTGGTGACTCGTTGATTCGGTTTTCGCGACCCGGCGAGCTAAGAGTTAGCCCAACAAAACCAAAGGAGCCTCTCGTTTCGTGAAACGCAATCACTTGCGTGAATAGCGCAGATTATGTATCGGTCAAATCCCAATCGCCCCAGCTGAAGGGTACACCAATTTCCAGATTCGCCGCAAGGGCATTGTCAACGGCGTTCAAATCGAATGTGGGATCAATATAGCCGAATATATCCTCACCCGCGGCACCGAAAAGCGAAAAGTCAAATGTCGTATCCATCTCAGTCCCAAAGACAGGAGCAGCTGGGCCGTCGGTAAGCACATTTGTAGGGAGCTCGTTGTCGCCGTTTTGATGGAGGTTGCTGGGCCAAGGCTGTCGGTCCCCGTGGTCTGGACTACCCGCTTGCGTCAACGCACTCACCGCTCTTTCAACTTCCCTTAGTACACTCTCCGCCATAGTGGCGACAACATTGGCGCTCCAGAAGCGGTCCCTATACGACTGTAGCATCTTGCAGTTACGCTTGAAGGAAACCATGGCTCTTGCTCGAGATAATGGCAGGTGGCAGCGTCTCATCTTGCGATACTCGACACTGAGCGCCAGGGAGGCCGCATATGGCACAATGTGTATGGGACTTAGATGTTCTCTGGCCACGGCACAGGATATTCTCTCGGCGGCTAGAGACTGCCTAGCATCCGCGGAGGGCGATAATGCGGTCGTTGCGGAGCGGGGCGTCTTGCACGACAAGATGACTACGGCATGATAAAATGTCTCGATAGTTGCTATTCTTTTCGTCAACTTGGGATCCCAATCAATTGCGGAGACGCTTACCGAGTAGATTCAATGGGACTTCCAAAGCATCGGCGTCGAGAGCCATGGTTTCGAAATCAGGCATATCAACGCACTTGATAATCTGCGGACTCGAAGATTGTTTGGACACTTGTTCTGGGCGATAGAGGTCGAGAATCTGACTGATCCACTGCACCACAGATAGAAATAAGCGAAAACAGGATGGCCGTCTTCTCATGCAGCTCCCCAAGTCTGCGCCCACGTCTCGCTCGTGCATAAAGCATGGACACCCGTACGTGGCCGCATTTATGCGATCTACAGCCCAGACACAGCAGAACAATGTTTCCATATCATCGGCATCGGGCGTGTCGTGGAGCGAGTGATGCATGCCAAGAGAGAAAATGAGATGTACAGCCCGGCCACCTAGCTGCGCTGGAAGGTCGGCATCGTCGGCGCACGTCGGCTGAGCGTAGAGGGATAGCATCACGAGTGCCCGAATGTGTAGCACCCTGTCCGTCACGAGACTCGTCTCCATGATTGCCCTAATCGACGACGACAGAGCCTCGAGGTATTCTCGAGCAGACAGCAGGTCTTGTCCTTTGTTTTTCAGCCGAAGAAAGGGCGCAAGGTCGGGGTCCGCCGCCGCAGCCAGACACACAAGTTGGCGAACCAGCAGGTCGGATGGCTCGTGCAGACTGCTGTCGAGGGCTGAGACGGGAATCACGGGGAATAGAGGGTGGATTTTCTTGATATAGACGGCCTTGAAGTGACAAAAGTCGTCGTCCGGGGGGAGGGTTGTAAGACAATGCTCTCTAACAAACGGTACGAGGATGTGGTCAACAATGGGAGGTGGCCGCGACATTTTAAGCTGTCCCGTATTCCCCGCGTCATCGGGAACCCATACACCGACATCTCGCCTTCGCTGTGTAGACTCTGCTGAAGCTTCCATCGTGGCTTCCACAAACAGAGCCTCTGGGTTTGAGTCGCAAACAAAGCGAGTAGTCCGTTGCAGATCGGCTTCTCGCGGTTGAGCGGCCAGGTCTTCTGTACTTGCTTGGCCAGCAGATGCTGATACCGATATCGATGGAGACTCATTCAAATTCCCATCGTTTCTGCTCTCCTTGCGTTTTGTCCGCTCATGTCTTCTTGTCCGCTGATGTATTCCGGTGTAAGATGGGGCCTTTTCCTGGGGCTCGGTAGGAGCATGCGCTTCGCCAGAATGGCCTCCATGAGTGCATCTCCTCTGCACGATTGCGATCCCATCAGTACTGTTTGGGTGAATTGCCAGATAAGCGCAGGTCATCTCACCTTCTTGTGACGACAGATCGCGCAAGCCTGCTGCACGTGCTTGCGCTTCACGGGCAACCCACCCCGGTCTGGATCCGAGGCCACGAACCTAAGCCTACGAGGCGAAGATTGGCGAGAAATAGGCGCCGGATTGAGATGAGCAGAGGGTACAGGCATTGTAGCAATGCTCGGCAGCGGAAACTGTTTGCCAGCAAGGGAGAGATGATTTAGGCACTAGCATCGCTAAAATTCGATGGCGTAGTGCAACAGCATATTCGTTACGCCAAAATTCGTTATTAGTCAGCAAACAAAAATCCCATGTTCAAAGATGTTGTATGAATTGATGATTTAAGAAATATACTCTTTACATTGAAGTACACTAGGTATATAGAAGTGATGGAAAAAATTTTGCTTGCATAATACTCTTTGATTCTTGCAACAATATGGGTACCAATATCGACTCTTTCATGTTGCCGCACCCGTGCCAGAAAAAAATAAGAGGCGTAACACTAACAGCACGGACTGTTATTAATTAGGTACCCAAAACACCCCTCCCGCGTAGGTATAGACTAGCCCCAGGGCGGCGATGTAAACAGGCGCTTTAACTATATGGGAAACTTATTCAGGTAAATCTGTCTGAGAAAAGTACCGAGGCATGTTTGACTACAACGAGTCATGTTTGGTCTCTGACAGGCAAGCTATGGAATAGGTCCTTTTCAGCTGGCGGGCGGAGTTCTTCACTTCCAGTCTATCTCCTATCTAGCTTGACTAGGTGGTTCGGACTACCTCTAGCTAATAGGCACCGTTACATAACACTACGCCTTACGCCGAGTTCCTTTCCCGCTTTTAAATTTAGAAAGTCAAGGGAAGTTCTTTTTAGGGATAATGAATAGGTGTTTGGACAAGATCTTGCTTGAGCATTGGGGTGCGGAAGCTGTTAGCTGCTAAGATTAGTGTGTTCTAAAAGTGGCCGATGCCCTCCCTAGCAGCCTTCTGGAAGGTCATTTATGCCGCCGGCTTCATTTAGGCCGAAATAACGGAAAGATTGCGGAAAGGATCCTCTGAAACCGAGAGATGGATTGCTTTAAGCTACATATTGCGAAGAATGAGGAGATGCGGCATTGAGCTGCTTGACAAGCATCCATCCAATAGGCCTCTTTTCCAGCTGGCCCACAACCGGGCCGGAATAAACTGACAGTCTCTCCAGAGCACCGTTTCATATTACGCCACAGAGGCTGCCATCATTTCTTCCGAGTCAGGTAACAGGGAGACAAGGTCGAACTGCTTGAATCCTTGTGGCCTTAACCTAGTCGGTTGAGACGAAAAGTACTATTTGCATGCGAACCCTGGGAGGGTAGGTTACATCTAGAACGAGTTATGAATTACATGCTATAGAAACTAGTCTATAATTTCAGGGGCTTGGAATGAACCGTGATTGGCATAGAGTTCGTTGAGGATTCTCCATAGTTTCGCGACAGAACAGTCAAAGTTTGGCTTGGTGAAGTAAGAAACCCATAGATATTCCTACGAAGTTGTTCATATTTCTTTCTCTTTTGAAAATGTAGTAATGCGAGTTGATGGACAATATGCGCGCCAAATACACTACATTTCGGGGTATTGTTCAGAAAATGCCATCTTCTATAAAACGCGGTGTTAGCAAGGCCCCTTCCCTACCTAACTGAACAGTAGTAAATTGTGAACGATGGTGAAACATCAGGCTTTGTCCGAGTAAACTCTGTCATGCCAATCGCTGAACAATAGACATAATCATATGCGACAAGCACTTGTAGCGGTAGTCAGGTGAAACGCGTAAATTGGTCGGACAACACCGCCACTCATCTTGGTGCGGGCGGACCAACCTACAACTTCCCAAAGATCAAGTATAGCTTACTAATTCAGATATAAGTACATTGATTCCTGTATTAGTTCCAGCTAAATACATACGCAAGTCTTTAACTTGTCATGGCATGTTCACCAGACGGGACTCAAACCCAAGTGTGACAGGTCACGGCGACTATGCTGCCTAGCACAGGCAATTCACACTAGGTTGATCCCTGAAGATTATATGGAGCCGTATTGGTAATGCCGGATGCGCAGTTGCTATATTGCGGTGCACATAGTCAGATCCCTTTCGGAAAATGGTCCCCTTGCTGTCTGATGTCGTATACAGGAAACTAGGTTGACCAGCGAGCCATGGCAGCCAGAGTAATTGAGTCACGGTATCCGATAATGCTGTGTACTCTTGGTTCTAATCTACACCGATCCAGAGGCCCTTGGAATCTGGCTATGCAAATGTTTTGCTGCTTGGATGGCAACAGAAGCCGTAGCTTGCTGACACTCTTGCCTCTAGGTAGCAGTGTATCAAAACTATGGGTGTCTTGTGATTCACCATGTAGTAACAGGTAGATACACTGATACTAGAATTTTAATGTACAACGAGGCAACTGTTTTCCTGCCTCACCTTGATAGTATAAACCGTGGTTATTTGGATCAATTTGCGGGAGGCCTTTAAGAGTACCCACATCACTAACGACTCATTCCGCATAAAACATGTGTCAACGTTGTATAAGGGCAGCCCAGCAGAGCTATGGGTCTGCATCCTTGCAGCGACACAATGATTATTTGGTCAGTGACTCGTAGTAACTGCACCACGGTCTATACTCCTACTAGAAACACATTGACTAGTCAGTGACTTCGTCGGATTTACCTTAGGCATTAGACTCTTACTAGGACGGCATATCATTTTAATGGGCCGGGCCTTTATTCCATCAAATAGACACAATAGTCAAGTCAAAGCTTGAACTTGACTAAGAAATCCCGCCGAAGAGGAAGATGTACGCACACACCTGACCCCTTGAATCAAAAGTTACCTGCTGTGTCTTTGGTGTATTAAGCGAGTGGCTATGCATATAAAGAGAGCTTATCACTTCCAACCTAGCCATTACCTTTGTTCATTCAGCAGATATTCACTCTTTCATCTCTACCTTTGTTCATTCAACAGCTATTCACGCTTTCAGCTCTACCTTTTCATCACCATGAAATACACCGTCCTCCTTCTTGGCGCTGGGACTATTGTCTCCGGCTTGCCCCAGGTCTCATCTCTTCCAAAGCTTCCCTTCAAGCCCGCTCCAGAGGGTTCAGGCTCCGAATGCCCGTATCGCAATGGCGGGTACGACGAAGACGAATGCGGCACCAAGAGATACTGCAATGCCATTGGAGCTTTCGGTAAAAACGCGACCATTTTCAAGACCAAGCCCGTCTGGGACACCATCGAGGCCTGCACCGCCGCGCACGAGCCGGAGCCCGAGCAGGAGCTCCTCCCCTTTGACTTTGGCCACTCCGTAGATGCCGACTGCGCTAATCGCGGCTTGACTGAGAGCGGTTGCGGCACCAAGTTCTACTGCGAGCAAATTGATGAAATTGTCGAGTTCGAAAAGTCAAGAGGCAAAGATCTGCTTGGCGAAGATAATGAGCAGACAGAGGACACCCGTTTCAAGAGCACTGATGAGTGCTTCAAGGCTCACGTCCCCGAGCCCAAGGACCTGCCCTTCTTGGAGGCCGACGAGAACAACTTCTGTGGCTCCCGTGGAGATGAATCCGAAGAGACATGCGGCACCAGCGCTTTCTGCGACTTGTTCGTTGGAGAGAAACGCCAGGCGTTAGGTTCGCCCTACATCTGGAGCCGACAGGATTGCTTGAATGCTCACCAGAAAAATCCCGCCGCCCCCGCGCCGACTTCTGTTTCCAACCGTCTCCCGGAGAACCGGTCTTAGAAGACAACAGAAATGTCGGGGAGCCCTGACTTCATCTGTCTGTCGAGCTTTGAGACTGACTCTTCACCTGCGCAACAGCAACTCCTTCTGTGGAATACTTTGAAATGTACTTCCACCAGCGCCAAAGTTCTCCTTTTGCCTGAGAAAAGTTGTCTTCTCAATAACAGCTCTGAGTTTCTCTTCTAGCCTAGATTCTGGGTCAAGTTTTAGTACATGATAGTTTTAGCTGAGATGCATGCTATAGCGCCGTATAGTTGTCAATGTTTACAAGACTCGCTAATGCTATCAGTTGACTTCCTTATCAGATCCTTATTCCTCTTGTATAAAAAGCTTCTAGCTTCGCTTTTCGATGTGAACCTTTTGCATCTAAGCCTGTTGTCTGGCTCAGTTGAGTTAGAGTATTGCCACGTTATGAAACTTCTATCTTGTGCGAGGCTTCTTGTATATTATCCAATCTCTGTTCAGAACATGACACAGTTGCCTAATCCTCGGTAGTCTAGTTACTAAAATGGTTCACAAAAAAAGGTCTCTTCGAAGCTAACCCGCATATCGAGGTGAGACAATCCTCAAAAAATTTCGTCACATGATATCTGCACAGATTTGACAAAAGTTCCGACTTTGTGAGATGGCTCTGTGTGGCAGGATATATGGATTGATCAAATGTCCTCTACAGACGGCAATGTTGGTACAGACATTCCCATGTACTCAGCGACGTTACCCACGGCAGATACAAGACTACCGAGCACTTCCTTCTCCATTCCCAACCTGAGCAATCCTTTCATATGTCCGATGGCTTCCTTAGGAACATTTTGTATAATCAGTGATGAGAGAAGCACGATCTCGGCTTCCAAATTCGAGAGATTGGAGTCTTCGGATAGAAAGAGACCATAGACTATATCCTTAAGAACAAAGATGAAGTCTTGATGAGGCTGTAACAGACGAAGCACTGGGTCCGCGTCACCCTGATAAATACGATTATTCATGTCTTCTCCACGAACTGCAATGGTTTCAGGCGTCCAACCACTTCTTTATAAAATGTTAGCTAATGCATTCAGGCAAAAAAAAAAAACAAAAAACATGTGTATACCAACCGAGAAAATGTTTTGTCATTATCCTCGTCTTCGATTGTGCTCGCTAGGCCGAGGATAGCCTCAAAGCTTTTCGGCACTCCGCTGATAACCACAAGTTTCACAAGTGTCTCTCTCAGCCGTCGAATCAGACTCTGACGCTGTGCCTTTGTCGAAAATTCCCTGCGTTTAGTTTGGTATTCATATATCTTGCCCGCTGCAGTGGCAAAATGAGTGCCACTGGTTAATGCTGATAGCTTGGAAGCAGGACAAATGTCAGCATGTCCAGTAATCTATACTTAGCCTCATAATAGACGCATAATAACATCAATTGCTACTCACAATAGTGATATCCCAATTCCTACTACCCAGTGATTGCTCAAACTGTAAGGCATGTCGTTCTAAAAATGTTGATAGTTCTGCATCCATTGTAAAGATAATGACCTTTCAAGCTGGAAGGGCAAGTAGGCTGTACTGAAGTTGTGACTGTAAGGTATGTTGAATGAGTAAGTACTATTTTGTCTAAGGGTGGTATGCAAACCGACAATTTATATGGTGTCTACAAATCCTTTCTGCCCGCCTAGCTACCCGATCTTTCCGAAGCAATGTAGACTTAGAGACTGCCAAGGCCATCTGCAGTATAAAAGTCTATGACAACATTTATTGAGAAGGTGCTAGTATCTGACATCTCTAGTATCGGATACTGTGTTCTTTTAGCGCTTTCAGATACTGCGCTCTTACTAACTACTAAGTTTAGCATATAGGTGGAACTTGCGTCTACGCTAATGGCCGACGTTTTCAGATATTGTACTGTCCGAGCAGTGGCGTCGCTGCTTGTACGTTATGCCGGCCAGCGAGACTAGAGCACGGGTGGAACTCCTGCCTGCACTAGTGAATAACCAGCTTCAGATTTAAAAACCTACGTGCTTGCAGTTCGATACCGGTAAAGTACCGTACGTTACCTCAACCGAGAGTCTAGCGCTTTTGGGGGCGTTGACACTATAGAAGAAACTTTGGTACTGTACGACAGGTTCAAAGTAGCACAATAATGCCACTAGGCAACCAGTCTATGGGGAGCCTATCCGAACTGAAACTTTATGCTCAGCTGCTACAACGTCGGGTGCTTCCGCAGCAGCCAAAGTAGAAACTCAGTTCAGTGTAATGAACGCTACTAGGCTGGCTGCAGTATTATTCTGCAATATCTGAATTAGAAAGTTTAGACTAGTAAATACGAACTCCATGGATACCCCATGGATGTGCTGTTCGGATCGGTATGTACGAGCCCCGATGCCTTTCTCTAACCCCGGTGATCGGGATATACAAGCACCGACAGCCCACCCTTACTGTGACCTCGTTCCTTCGATGATTGGCAAACACACAAAGAACCGATGCTAGACTAAAGATATTTCAGATAGAGCTTCCGTGGAGACTAAAAGCGAAATTTAACAAGATTTGTGCTGAACAGCAGTAGGCATAGTATAGATGTTTCTAATAAAACGATGTCGACTATCCAGTCGCCGTTTAGCTTTCCGATGCTTCCGTAACACATGAACACCACATTATGACGTAGTGTTTTACGTCCAAAAACTCATATCTATTAATGGTATATATTGATCTCAAGCATCCTCAGATCTATCCTAGAGCACACTCAACTAATTCGCGACCAGCAGAAACACATCTAGCCCAATTGGCTGATAAGTCATTACTCTCACCAACTATCGCGACTATATTTTCAGCTTGCCGTACTCAGAAGCTACCAATAGCAAACGACGACCATGTCTTCAAGTACACAGAAAAGCCTGCCCGAGACGCAAAACGCTTCCTCTTTCGTTGAGCTACATGTCTTCGGAAGCGGCCTGATGGAGGCTTCGGCATCACTCACAATTGACGGCCACCGCGGGACTACCAAATTCAACTCCTGGAGGTCTTTAGTCATACACAAGTCATCAAATATACATCTTTGGTTTGACATGGGGGTTTCTCATGTAAGTGTCTATCTGGAATTCGAGCAATCTCATACTAAAGCAATTACAAGGATCTCTCTCAGTACCCTCCTGAAATCCAAAGGAACCAGCATTGCGTTTTCAAGGTGCAACCAGCGCCAAATACAATTCTCGAAGACGCAAAATCGGTTGGTGTGGATCCAAAGACTGTACAGTATCTTATACCAAGGTATGCAATAGTCGAAAGCTATTTCCTACCTAGCTAATTGTATCGTGTCCCCCCATAGCCACGCCCACTGGGATCACGTCTACCCGATGGGATCCTCGTTTCCAAACGCAAAGTTCCTCTGTGGCCCTGGAACCCTAAAGGCAGCTGCAAAGTCGTGGCCAGATTATCCTGACAGCTTCTTTGACGGTCGCATATGGAACCCAGAGAAAGCAGAGCTTCCCATTGAGGAAATTCCAACAGCAAAGGAGGCGCCCGCAAAATGGTGTCGAATCGGGCCTTTTGAGAATGGTTACGATTTCTTTGGGGATGGGAGTTTCTGGCTGGTGCAGGCTCCAGGTCATTTCCCAGGTAACTTGGCTGCGCTTGCTAGGACGAAGAATAGAAACGGGGAAAGGCGATGGGTTGTATTGGGCGGTGATTGCATGCATTGCTACGATCTCGTCCACTACCCTGAAGCCCCCTTTGGGAAGGGTATTAGTGTGACAGAGTCAGGCACCCTTCATGAAGACGAGCCGGCTGCTCGAGAGACAATCCGCAAGATTGCGTCATTGAGGAAGGCTTACGATGGTGAGCTCTTCGTGTGGCCTGCTCATGTTGACTGTCTGGAGGGTGTTTGGGAATTCGATGTCTAAAGGCATATATACCCCATCTTCTTGATGCCCTGAAAAAATTTAAGCTGCCAGTATAGATAGTGTTATTTATTCTCGATCCTTGATCCCTTCAGTTCTGGAACCCTCAAGACATTCGTGAAAGGAACAAATGACCGAACGATGACTCTGCTGTGAGACATGGGATCGGTCACCGTTGGCTGTTCTGAGGTCACCACCACTTGTATCTCACCGAGTGAGGAGAATCGTGCTCCAAGTTTATTACCAACGATAGCAGAACTAAAGTGCTTATAGTAAGACTTTCTCATTTTATAAAGTAATAAAAGATGATACAAAATAATGATGTTTGATTTGAAAAGTTCATAATATGTACAGGAATTTGTAGTACTCAATAGCCCTTGTCCATTCGCCAAAACTCCAAATTAACATCGTAAATAGGGCGGTAAGACCATCCAAGCATTCCTATGTCATCCTCGAATAGATTATATACGCAAGAGATAAACAGTCACCTGAGGGGCACTTGTCGCACCTAGTCCAACAGCTCACTCAATTCACGCTTGGCGTTGCGCTGAATGCCACACTTGTCCAAGCAGGCGTCGATACCAAGCGCGATATTGTCAGGAAGAGCATGCCGAAAACTCTCAATGTCCTTGCCATTGAGCGTCTGCGCGCCGCCAAGCGTCGCGCCCACGACATCCGCGCGCAAGCTTAAAAAGTTTTGCGCAACCTGGCTGACGCCGGCGTCTGTATCCGGAAACGCCGCCACAAAGACGGCGTCTGTGCAGTCTGGGTTAAACTCCTGATGTATGGCGCCCTGCGGGAATACAGTCATTTGAAACGTGTTGAGCGTGTTTGCGACGGGCGGCGCGCCGTTTTCGAGGACAAAGTTGGTGACGAGGCGGCCCTGGACAACAATGTTGAGCTCGGTGGCGCGCGGGTGGACGTGGGCCGTGTTCATGCCGCAAGGGCCGAGAAAGGCGACGGTCATGGAGGCGCCGTTGGCGATGAGCGCGGGAAACGTCTTGGCGGTGGCGGCGATGGAGAGGCCGCCCCGGCCCTTGGCCTCGGAGCGGCTGGTGGCGTCGACGTCTTTAAAGTCAAAGACCCAGTCGCCGGGCTGGTCGAGCAGCTTGGCGCGGTCGACGGCCGTGGGCGCGGTGATGAGCTTGGTGATGAGGTCGGCGTTGCCGCCGCGCGTGTTGACTGGCACGATGGGCGGAATGACGGCGTCAATGTCGACGGCGCCGGCCTTGCTGCTGGGGGCAGCGAGGACGGCGCCGGCGAGGAACAGTGTGGACGCGGAAGTGAAGAGCATTATGGTGGGAGCCAGTTTTGGATTCAAATAGTGATAATAAAGCTTGCTAGCAGATTGCAGATCTGGTTCAGGGATGAGGAAACATTTCGTTTCGCGGGTTGGTTGGGGGGACAGACGCTTCGACTATATACACGAGTTGAAGGATTCAGACCTGGCCAGTGTTGACATTGCTCCGAAGTTGTGCTCACCAACCATGATATCCAGATCATACTTACAGCAACAGCCTTGCATGCACAGCCGATGATGAGTGATGTGGTGGTGGTCGGAATGTGTAGAATCCGCGTGGCTGTCGTGAGGTGTAAGTGGCCCACGGGCGGAATTGGCCTGGAAGAGTGGAAACAGCCGTCAATAAGGCCAAGTCGGAAACGCAGAAAATAGCCAAGAAACAACCTAGAACAAAACACATGAGCTAACGTTAGCTATACCCCCGTAGTGAGGGATCTGCAGTGATTGATCTGGCTCATCATCAGGCTGGAGGAGGGGTGTACATAAAGTGTGTGAGCTGGTGCTAGCCTCGAAATAGACACCGGGGAGGGTGTAGGCCATGCCAGGCTGCATTGCATCGCAGAGAACACTTATTTACCAAAATTATTATTATATTCGGTCTGTCACTGGCTATCAGAGTCTCTGGGCTATTTTTGGGAATATCTTGGACTGGTAAACAGATTGTTTCCCTGCCTTGATGTCGTGAGCGAGCCTTGTGGGTTGACGCTGGAGCTGCGGTGCAGCCCACAGGCTCACTGAGCAATAATCTCGGCGCCGTAATTTACAGCTGCGCCAGAGTCGGAGGCTAGTAGAATCGGCCAAGAGTCAGCATATAGCAGCAGCATGTGGAATCAACTTGTCAAATCTGCCCTGCCTATATCAGTAGCGACTCATCTGGTCTGCAGCGTTGCATTGCAGAAGCGCAGCCGTTGGGCAGCCAACGCCAAAAATAGACTGGCATGCTAAAATAGGCAGGGCTTATCAAGGGTTGCAAGGGTCAGCGGGAGCAGCTGTAGTTGAGGCTGTGCACTGTAGTCAACCCGGCTTCGAGCCATCCGAAATTGGTTCTTCCCTTGTTGTCTATTTTTCCAGCGCGTAATTAATTGATGGAGAGCGATAGAGCTAGCAGTCAGTGACGACGTAAAAATTTGCAACTGCGCGGCGTCTTCATTGTCGTGGTGTACTTGGCATCAGTGACTTGTAGTACAATATCTGTACTCTGACTCGCTATACACCTTGCGCTCCGTAGTCATTGCAAAAATTCGGGTTGTCTGGTAATCAACTACCAGTAATGCTTTCAAAAAAAAAATACAATGTTCTTGTTCCCCCATCAAATGCGTCGCTTGAGCAATCAACCCGCCACCAACAGGGGGAAACGGCACCTCAACTATGGCGACTCAACAATGGAGAGCTACAGAACCACGACCACCATAATGCTAGACAGAGACACGAAATGCACCGATTGACTCAATCGACTTCTCAAGTCAATTTCACCGGCAGTTATACATATCGCGATCCTGCTTAGTGTTGGGGCTGGTCATTTCCGGGCTCAATTTCGATATCGGTCATCCATATTGTTTGAGCTCTATTATGTTACTGAAAATGCTTTGTGCACTTGCTGTCTCTGTATCATAAGCAAGTAGATCATCCTGGGGTAGTGCGTTCATGGGCAGTGAGTTTTGCAGCACTGCGAACACTACATATCGTACAGATCACACTATCTCGCATTGACCCACTAAAGACAGCGTACTACTCATAGTGACAAATAAGCGACAGAACTAGCATCGGATCCCGTGGTCTAGTTGGTCATGGCATCTCGTTAACACCGAGAAGGTCCCCGGTTCAAGCCCGGGCGGGATCACACTTTTTTGCCTCATTTTTGTTCCCCGCACGATCTTTGTGTTGCTAGACTTCGTCTAGCAAGACTACGTAAATTTCACGCCAATCCCTGATCTGCAACGTGTCGCACATCAGAGCCGCCATGCTTTTACTTGTACAGGAGCCGTCGATATATGCCGCGAGCAATAGTTCATCTAGAATACTTGACAACAACTTTCGGGACATGATCGTTGAAGACGTACTGTTACGTACTGTAAAGGTAAATAAAGCTTGAGCGCAATGGTAAGAGGTAATAGTGTTCATGGTTCAGGCAAGTTATCGAGTAGACATGCACTTGTAAAGACCTTTGAGTGTAGATTGCTATAAAGATGGATGAGAGCAGAATGACTACCTATTTCAAAAGTAGACCAAGCGTTTTTTACCCCGCCTCCAACCTTGTGCTTCCGCTGCCAAGGAGTTTCTACCCCAATAGCGTCATTGTCGCCACTTTCCACCACAGCCAAGCCTAGATGGAGGGGACATGGAAGAGGTTGCAATATTGGCAGTAAACTGGAGAAAAAAATTAAACACACGCATTAGAGACACTCTGAGAGGAAATGAATAAAAAGGAGACGGGGCAGCTTCTTCCTCGCGCATCTTGCTGTGGAAAACAAGCTCTCTTTGCTAGCGCGTTGAACTCTAGCTCATGACCATGTCCGCAGCCATGGCGCCAGGAGTCGCCGAAAATTATGAAATAAATGCCGATATGGGTGAGGGATTCGGTCAATGGAAAATGGTAACTTGACGTCTCCGGATCCATCCCCTGCTGCCTAGCCCAGCTTCCGACGCACCGCTGACCTTGTAACAGGGCCCTGACGAGGAGCTCATGCCGCTGATTGACGCTGCCAACATTGCCTGCGGCTTTCACGCCGGCGACCCCTCCATCATGCTCAAGACCATCCGTCTCTGCAAGCTCCATGGCGTCAAAGCCGGCGCCCACCCGGGCCTACCCGACCTCGTCGGTTTCGGCCGCCGCCGTATGGAGGTCTCCCCGGCCGACGTGCACGCCCTGGTCCTCTACCAGGTCGGCGCTCTCCAGGCCATGCTTGCCTCTGAAGGCGTTGCCCTCGCCCACGTCAAGCCACATGGAGAGCTGTTTTTCTACATGCAGCGCGACGCCGCGATAATGCGCGCGGTGCTCGAGGCGTGTAGGACGTTTGGAGTGCCGGTGTATGGATGCGAGAACGAAGAGCAGAGGAGCATGTGCGAGGAGCTGGGACTGCAGTTTCAGGGAGAGGTGTATGTGGATATTGATTACTCAAAGGAGGGGAAATTGGTGCCTAGGGCGCAGTCGAGGGCGGTGACGCCGGAGATGTGTGGTGAGAGAGCGGTGGAGGCGGCAAGGACGGGCACTTGGAATAACGGGGAGGTGGATTTGGGGGTGAAGGGGAGGATCTTTAGTATTTGTATACATTCGGATGTACCAGGGGTTTTGGATAATGCAAAGGCGGTGCGTAGGGCGGTGGATGAGGTGAATCAGGCGAGGTTGGGGTAGATGCATTCGAGCCACCACGGAAAAATTAGAAGAAGAAAGTCTTGGGCAGATTTTTCTTCGCAAGCAATGGGTTGTTGAAGACTTTCCCTTTGGTCATGTATTTCGTTGCAAAAGGCATGAGTTGTGCACCAAGCAGTTTTGTGTAAACACGACTCACTTACAGCCTCCGCAGCCGACGTCACACACCAGCAGCAGCGAGATGTTTGAGCAACTCCTACCTTCGAAACATGTCGTCAAGTATCCGTATGCCGTAATTGCTTGGAGAAGAGGAGGAATATCACTGCAACATGCGGATAGAGGCCGACATCCACAAACGACTGGGTGACTGCCCACACATACCTCAGCTGATGAGGTGAGAGCCCGATTCGTGCTGTCTGACCTTGTAATTCATGAACAATGAGGATTTGGGAACTGAAATGCGGGAGACATCAGGTATTTCTGAAGAGGTGCGACGGCGCCGGGGGTTGCAGGTATCTCGGGGACTCGCTACACTTCAATGCACTGGACGTTGTCCACTATGACATGAACCCGCACAAATTCTTTACTCAACCGGGACCTCGATCTACACATTGCCGACTTTGCGTGTAGTGCGATGGCCAGTACGGAGCACAAGGTAGCGCCCGGGGCAAATATTCTTGCCACCAGGCTTGGGTTTGGGAGTGGCCGGCAGAAAAGACGGACGACGTGTTTGGCCTGGGCCGTATTATCTACTTCATCATGGTCAGAGAAGAGCCGTATTCCGGAAAGACGGAGGAAGAAGCGAAGGAGAACTTATGGCACTTTTGATGTAAAGAAGCCTTCATCTCAAATTAAATTTCCAAAGTGTCAAGGTTTCAAAGCGAGAGCATCTCGCTTCTGTCGCTGTTTGACGGATGACTAGACATGTCCTCGGCCGGCCAAAGACAGGTGCCAATGCAGGAGTAGCCGGCAGCCCGCCGAAAACAAAAGGTAGCCGATTCAGAGAAACCTGCATGCTAATGTGGAAGTTATGTTCAGTTATCGTGTACAAGTAATGGATAGTGTCAAAGTTGAAGCTGTAGGTGAGGTGGTAGACTATTCAGTGACCAAGTGTGCAGGATACCACGATGAAATGTTCCCAGCTTTCTATACATTTTTTTTATTCTTTTTTTTTTTCATCTATTATAGTTTATAGGATTAATCTTTCACGTCTGCTACGTGCAAGTCTATTATTCCAGGCATGTAAATACCCTTGGACAGTGACTACCTAGAATAGTTTCTACCCCAATTCCGTGGAGAATCATGGGGAAGTGGAGAAGCGGGGAATCCAAGTCAGGAATGCGGGGAAGTATTGAGACAATGCCGCGCTCCCCTACCGAAACATGCATCTGCGTCGCGGCATATATATAAATTCGGCACATCCTACAGAATATGGAGCGTTATTATTATTTTGTTGCATCTCCTCTTTCCCATCGTCAAGTATGGCTCCCGATAGCAGCAGCACTGAGCCGCTGCGGCACATCCGCAGGGTGCTAATCGCTAACAGAGGCGAAATTGCTGTCCGCTGCATCAAAGCCTGCAAGGAGCTTGGCGTACACTGTATTACCATATTTACCAATGCGGATACAACGTCGCTGCACGCAAAATTGGCAGACGAATCTGTCCTACTTCCCGGCGACAATGGCACCGGATACACTGACAGGTACGCCAAGCCCCCGGTCGGAGGTCTCACACTTTGCCGGGTTGCAAAATTCTCCGCTAACTAGTTCAAACAACAACAAAAAAGTGCTTCAATTCTCGAAATTTGCAAACGCGTGGGCGCGGACGCTGTTATCCCAGGGTACGGCTTCCTCAGCGAGAATGCCGAGTTTGCTGACGCCGTCACCGCCGCTGGTATCGTCTTTGTCGGACCGTCATCGGCATCCATTCGAGCCATGGGCCTGAAACACGAGGCGCGGGCCATTGCTGTGGCCGCCAACGTCCCCGTCATCCCCGGAACATCCCTTCTCGAGTCGGCTGATGATGCTTGCGTGGCGGCCCGCGCTCTAGGCTTCCCTGTCATGCTCAAGGCCACTGGCGGCGGTGGCGGCATGGGCCTGCAAGTTTGCCACACCGAGCAAGAAGTCACCGATGCATTCTCCGTAGTCAAGAGTCGCGGCAGCACTCTTTTCAAGAATAGCGGCGTGTTCCTGGAGAAATACTACCCCAGCTCCCGCCATGTCGAGGTGCAGGTTGCCGGCAACGGGGAAATTGTCGTGGCCTTTGGCGAGCGCGAGTGTTCGCTGCAGCGCAGACACCAAAAGGTCATTGAAGAGTGTCCGAGCCCGTTCGTCGAGCGCCACCCCGGTATGAGGGAGAAGATGTGCCAGGCGGCGACCAACTATGCCTCGCGGCTCAAGTACAAGAGTGTGGGCACGGTTGAGTTTCTCGTCGACGATGAGACAGCCGACTTTTTCTTCCTCGAGATGAACACTCGTCTGCAGGTTGAGCACGGCATCACGGAGCTGTGCTACGGAGTTGACCTAGTCCATCTTATGCTGCGGCAGGCCGACCATGAGCGGGCTGGTCGACTGGGCCTACACTCGGATGAGCTTCAGAGGCTTGTGAAGCTGGAACCGCACGGCTGGGCGATTGAAGGTCGTGTGTACGCCGAGGTGCCGCTGCGGAACTTTGCTCCGGCGCCGGGGGTCCTGCAGCATGTGGGATGGGCGGAAGGGGACGGTATCCGAGTTGACACATGGGTTAGCAGCGGGCAGAACGTCACCCCGTACTATGATCCTCTCATCGCCAAAATCATGGTTCACAGCCCGGACGGACGGTCGGCCGCGCAGGCAACGATGCTCAAGGCGCTGAACAATAGCGCACTGCAGGGTACGCAGACCAACATGGAATATCTCGCCAAGATTATAGCTTCTCCCATGTTTGTCAACGGCCAGACATTGACAAACTCGCTATCAAACTTTCACTTTGAGAGCTGCTCTCTGCAGGTGCTCGACCCAGGTGTCCTCACCACTCTGCAGGACTACCCGGGTCGCGTCAATGTCGGTCACGGCATTCCTCCCGGTGGACCAATGGATGATCTCAGCGCACGCGTCGCAAACATCCTAGTCGGTAATGAGCCCGGTGCGGAACTCTTCGAGATTACCCTGGTCGGACCGGAGCTGTTGTTCCACGAGGCCGCCGTGGTGGCAATCTGCGGCGCGGAATTGCTGGTTACCCTGGAGGAGCAGACACAGCCAATGTGGTCTCGGCTCATTGTAGGAAAAGGCCAAATATTAAAGCTCGGACGCGTGGGAAAGGATGGTACTCGCACATATCTTGCAGTCAAGGGCGGCTTCCCACAAGTAGCCGACTATCTAGGGTCCAAGTCAACAGCCCCAGAGCTCGGCATCGGTGGTGTTCAAGGCAGAAAGCTGCAAGCCCACGATATCCTCGCCCTCGACCCGCGGTCCGGGACCTGGGCAAAGCAGGCCTCTCCATTGTCGCTACCGAAAGAAGGTCTGCCCATCTTTGACTCTGACAGCGCAACAGTCATCCGCTGCATCGACGGCCCGTACGGATCAGAGGACATTCTCTCACCAAAAGGCCATACCACGCTGTACGAAGCCGAATGGTCCGTGAGCCACAACAGCAGTCGCAGCGGTGTGCGCCTGTCCGGTCCGCGACTGAAATGGGCGCGCACGTCAGGCGGCGGGGGCGGATCGCACCCGTCCAACGTCTTTGACTATGGGTATCCCAACGGCGGCGTCAACTTTACCGGCGAGTCGCCCATCATCTTTGCCCATGACCGGCCTGGGCTCGGTGGATTTGCGTGCCCGACGACGGTGTGTTCGGCAGAGATGTGGAAGGTCGGACAGCTGAAGACGGGGAATAAAGTACGCTTTCAGTCCATTTCGTTTGACGATGCCCTGCAGCTTTCAAAGAGCAAGGAGGGGTATCTACAAGCCATTAAAGCGTACTCAAACGGCGGCACTCGTACAATTCCTTCTCCGCATGTGGAAGTGGCCAAGGCACCAGCGTCATCAATCCTGCATCAAACACCGGCATCAGGCAGTCATCCTAGGGTGACATACCGTCAGGGCGGTGACACTGGCATCATTGTCGAGTACGGGGAGCAACTCCCAGATTTGAGGAACACTGCTTGTGTTTACCTTCTTCTACAAGGACTCTCCCGTGCTCAGCTCCCTGGCGTTCGCGGCGAACCCAACTTTGCCACGCTCACCGTGCACTTTAACCAGCAAAGTACGCCCAGGGAGAGTCTCTTGGCACGACTCATTCAGCTGGATAGAGAAGCCGGCGAGATCAGTGGCATTCAAATACCTGCAAGACAACTGAGGCTGCCGGTTTGTCTGGACCATTCTTCGTTTGCCGAGTCGAACCAGAGATACATGGAGAATATCCGGCCGACCGCGGCTTACATGCCAGACAATGTGGAGTATCTTCGGAAGAACAACGCTCTTGATAGCCGTCAGGACGTGTTTGATTCCATTCTCAAGGCCCCATGGCTGACCGTTGCCGTCGGCTTCTTCGTCGGGACGCCGATCCTATACCCGCTGGATCCGTGGCGCGTCATTACTGGCCAAAAGTACAACCCGACGCGTATTTATACACCGAGAGGTTCCATCGGTCTCGGTGGCTCACTGGCGGCCATCTATCCTGTCGCCGCGCCGGGAGGATACCAGCTCATGGGCCGCACGCTAGGCGGCTGGGACGCCGCAGGCAACCGTCCGGGCTTCTCGCCAGACAAGCCTTGGCTGTTTAATCAATTCGACCTCGTCAAGTTTCATCAGGTATCAGAAGAGGAATACACAAAAATTGAGCAAGATTTTGACGCTGGGCGATATGTGTTTGACATTGTTGAAACAACCATCAACATGGACCAGTACATTGCTCAGTTTGATGAAGCGGCGCGGGACCCCAAGTACCAGGAATGGAAGAGAAGAAAGGAGGTTGCCTCGAAGGAAATGGCCGAGCTGGAGGAGAAATTGTATGAAGAGTGGGTAGAAGCAAAGAGACTGGCGACAGCGGACGCGATCGAGCACGAGGGCGACGAGGAGTCGGAAAATGTGGCTCTCATCAAGTCGCCTGTGGATGCCAATGTCTGGAGGGTCCTTGTCAAGGAAGGTGATGAGATTCAAAAAGGACAGACTGTGGCGATATTGGAGGCTATGAAGATGGAGATTAACATCATTGCTGGGGACAAGGAGGCTGGCTTTGTGGTGGCGGGGATACCGCAGCCCCCAGGGAGCGTGGTAAGTCCGGGCAAGGTGATAATCAAGGCGAAGAGAAAGGCCCAAGGTATTTGTGCTGTAAAATCGAGTTTATGAAATATTTTGTAATTTTTTCCCGTCATGAAGTCTAGTATTGATTTCAATACTGGCGCCGTACTCGGTCCTAAGGCAGTGTCGGCCAACCGGAGAGTTGCAGCAACCAAAGAGATGAGCTGCGTGACAACTAGCTTGCATATTGCTCGGGAACCAACAAGCTAAAAATAAGTTATCAATGTAAAAACGTTGGATTCCGTCGGAATTAGATAAGATTTTTTAAACAACGGCCATCACGTGGCCTGCCCGTCCTGCCGGGTCACAGCCAAGAAAGATATCGACCCCCTCTTCCCCGATTACTGTTCCCCGGTTACTGACCTCGGGACGTTCGTCCCAAAGATGCAACACCAGCAGCAGCTTACCAGTGCATGCCGGCCAATTCCGTCACATCTTGGCTATCCAATCTCACCTAGCCAGTATCAATCACTTGCGCCATAGCCAAGTCATGGTCCAGCGTCGGTTAGAGTATTCCGCATAAATTTGGCCTCCAACAGCTGCGTGCGTTGCGCCCTCTGAAAAAAATATGGGCGGTCGGCCGCGAGTCCCCGTTGCGCCGTGCAAGTTTTGCAAGAGGGCATTTAAACGCCAGGAACATCTGGATCGACATTTACGGACGCGTAAGTCTCTCTGTTTGTCAGCCGGGCAAATGAGGCATTTGGCTGACTCAAATGATAAAGACACAAGGGAGCGGCCCTTTCAATGTGCTTGCGGTCGCATGTTCTCCAGGCAGTAAGTTCCGCAATGGCCCATCTCAAAATGCTGGGACATGTGTGAATAACCCATTTCGGATACTAAAAGGGACCTTCTCTCACGTCATTGTCGGCTCTCGAGCTGCAAATATGGCGCCAAAATCCCTTTACCACATCAAGACAGCAAGGATCATTCGCTACCTGTTTTTTCTACAGCATCTGCCTCATCTCTTTCGCCTCCCAGCTTGCCAGAGAATACCAATGATAGGGCATCTGCGCCAAGATTCGGTGTCGCTGCCGACGTGGCTCTTGCCGAGGATTCTCAACAGAATTGTGCCAGTCCTGCCACTGACGAACGGCTGCCACAAGCCCTGTCGTACCTTCCCGTGGACATGAGCCCCTCGGTTGAAGTGGATTGGGGCCTACATGCCATGCAAACGGAAGCTTTCAGTCTCGATGTTCTGCCCAACGAGGCAGAAGTGATTGACAACTACTTCATGGGCATATTTCATCCGACCAATGCAGACATGGATCCGTTGCTAAACACTACCAGTCTTACTACGGTGTCTGGAGCATTGCCGAGCACGGCAAGTCCGGATACAACGTCCTACGTGCAGACGAGGACGCCGGCTATCACAAATCGGAACTATGCGTCTTCTACGACTCCGTCGACTACTACTCCACAAACAGCCATGAGACAGAGCCCGAGCCGCATTCCAGGACCGCTGGACGCCATGGAGGATGTTGCCGCCGCGAATCCCTGGACCATCTCCTCATCCGCCTACGCGCGACTGCAGACCGAGGTCAACAAGTTCTCTCATGTCCTGCCAGCTCCATTCACCCTCCCCAGCCGGCCTAAACTATCGCGATTCATCGCCAGCTGGATGCGCGGCTACCACCCGCACCTGCCGTTCCTCCACATCCCCACTGCCAACATTGACACGATGAAGCCGATGCTGGTGCTCACCCTCGCCGCCACGGGCTCGTTTTACGGCTTCGAGCACACCGAGGGGTATCCCATGTACGTTCTCGCCAAGGCCATGATTACCAGCGAGTTGGAGAAACGCAGGGTCGGTGCCACACTTTGTCTACTCCACGGCCTCCCGCAGTATGCGGAGCTCCCCACCGACCACTCCGCGTCGCCCATCCGAGAGCCGGCGGCGACACACCACTCGTCACCGCAGCCTCCCGCGTTCGACGTCGAGCTCCTCCAGGCGTTGCTGGTGCTCATCATGACAATGTCCTGGCTGGACGCACCGTTTGCGCAGGAAGCGCTGGCGATGAGCAGCCAGCTGTCGACGCTCACGCGTGAGGCGCTGTCACAGGCACGGCTCGACGATGACGACGACGCGAACGGGGGAAGCTGGATAGACTGGGGCAAGGCGGAGGAGAGGAGGAGAAGCATCTTTGCGGCATACTTTACGCTCAACATCCAGACCATTTGCTTCAACGTGCCGCCGCAGCTAACCAACTCGGAGATGAAGCTGCTACTGCCGTGCTGCGAGGCAGAATTCCGAGCACCCAACGCCGACGCATGGAAGAACAGCGTCCTCAACACCAAACCCAACAACACCCGAAACCGAGATTACCAAGACTGCCTCGCGCAGCTCCTCGCCGGCAAGCCCCTCGAACCCGCCGCCGTCATCTCCGAATTTGGCAACTACCTGCTCGTGCAGAGCCTGCTGATGCAGATTTACCTCGAGCGCCAGGCCGTCTCGCCGCTCCTCGGCCCCTCACAGAACCTCCCCGCCGCCACCGTCGCCGTCTACGACCGGGCCCTCGCCGCCTGGCAGCAATCCTGCTGGGACCCGGCCATCGAGACGACCTCGCTCGACCCATCCACCTCAGCCCAGGGCCCCGTCGCCTTCAACGCCGCCGCCGTGCTGCGTCTCGCACACGTGCACCTCGGCGCCGGCCTGCAGGCCCACTGCGAGCTGCTAACGCGGGACCCGCGCGCCCTCGCCGAAGCCTTTTCGCCGGTGCGGAACCCGCTGCTCCTTGAATCCGCCGCCGCCCGGGCGGCGGCGGCGGCGCGAACAACAACAACAAAGACGGCAGTGCGGCATGCGGTCTGCGCGCTGCGGATCCCGGTGCGCGTGGGCATTGCGTTCGTGGCGCGCGGTCGGACGGGCCATTGGAGCGCGCAGCACGCGATTAGCAATTATGCGTGCGCGCTGCTTCTGACGCACTGGCTGGACAGCATGGCGAGGGTTGTTGCGGAGCATCATGGCGGCGACGACGACGACGGCGGCGGCGGGTTGGAGGCGGAGGAGAGGATGCTGCTGGGGGCGGTAGAGCGGCTGGTGGAGGAGACGCATCTGGAGTGCTCGCTGGGGCCGAAAGAGGATGGCGGCCGCCCGTGTCCGGGGAGGATGCGGCGGCTGAGCATTGCGGCGCTGAGGCTCTGGGCGCAGACGTGCAAGGGCATACAGGTGTATGAGATTGTGCACGTCGTGGGGGAGGCGCTCTCGATAGCGGCTGACTCGATCGAGAGGGGTTTGTAAGGTGGGGTATTCGAAATACTACTTCCCGGAAAAGGAAGAATGGCGCCAGGTTAATGATAGCGTGAATTGAAGCATGTTTATGCTGTTGGCTGCCCAGCCAGCCAGCTAGCTAGCTAGCTAGCTAGTATCCGTGAAGGGGGGGGGGAGTTTAGGAGAAGAGGCGACCAGTCGTCACTCCAAGTAACTTTTATTCAATACATTTAAACTTGCGGGGAAGTGGCTTGCGATGGGCCGCCATTACATGCTAGGCCCGATTCGTCGGCGTCACAGGCCGCATTCTGCTAGCCTCTTTTGCGTCAGTCTGTGCACGCGGTTGCTGATATTTGTTTGCATCAGAATCATACGAGCGCGATATGAGCTGTCATTCTGTTGAACCATGTTGGTAAGAGTTCTTGTACTAAATACCAATGACACTGTGAAAAGGAAAATGGCAGTGAGAAACAAAGAATCAAGGCTACAACCGAAAATGGTACAGAACATCATGCCACAGAAATCAACAGATAAGATGAAATGCCACGGAAAAAAAAAATATCGCTCCGATAAAAAATTTAACAAGAAAAAGCTGTGCCTCCAGTCTGTATTTATTGTCGGAAACATAAAAAGAAAAAAAAAATTAGGGCAACCTCGATCCCTCCAGCTTTGGGTATCACCACAAATAAAGTCACATTGTCGTCTGGTATCCATCAGCACCGTGTCGCTACAAGCAGGGCCAGTCGCTCTCCCTCTTTCAAATCCCGCAGTCATCTCGCGCTCGTCCTTGCGATGGAGAAGAAAACTGACCAATTTTTCAAAGAAGCCAAAAATACAAAGTTGTAAATGAAAGATATGGTATGTGAGGCCGTGAAAATACCGTAATCATACATGATAATCATTCAGAAGAATACAATGTAATGTCCATGCGCTTTTACACTGCATTGGACGAGACAGAATGAAGAGAAGCAGTTGCGACAACGGGGCGAATGTCAACAACGGCTGAGACTCCGCTAATCTCTGCCTTATAGTATCAACTGCTTTAGGTTGCGCTGTATTATCATGTCTTGCACCGAGCCCATGGTGATCTTGAGCAGATTGGTGTCGGTGGCGTTGGTAAAATGGCCGTAAATTTCCTTCTCAGGGTTACGACTCAAAGCCTTGAACTTTTCGAGAAAGTACTTGCTGGCAGCCTTGTAGTCGTCCGTCGGGCCGTGGTAGTCGGTGAAGCCGTACTTGCTAATGGGGCTGCGTGGTAGCTTTTCACGAAAGAGATCCATCTTGTTGAGAAATAAAATCATTGACGAGCGCGTGAACCAGTGCGAGTTGGCTATTGATTCCCAGAGCATCAGAGCCTCATTCATTTGGTTCTGTAGCAACGTGTTAGCTAGAAAGGGCCACCGTGGACGCAATACGCAATGCGCGCCGGGGGACGATTGGCGCCACTTACTCCGTCCTTGTCTTCTACCAGACACTGGTCGTAACCACTGATTGCGACTAGAAAAAGAAGGCAGTTGACGTTCTCGAAGCAGTGAATCCACTTCTTCCGCTCAGATCGTTGGCCGCCGACGTCAAACATGCGGTATGTTAGCTGACCAAGGTCGAAATCGGTTTCGGTGATGCCCGTGGTTCGTAATCTTGAGCGTAGGAGATCCTGGTCGTTGGGAACGTAGCCGTCGGCCCAAATCCGATCAATGTCTTCGACGAAGCTATCTGGGGTCAATTTCCGCGCGGATAAGTAAGATGGGTGGCATTACGGAATTTCACTTACTATGCAAGGTTGTCGTGGAGCGCATACTCATTGCCCTTGGCGATGGCCTTTTTCACGCCATTGTCTTGCCACAGACTTTTGATGGGCTCTAGGTATTCTTGGGGCGGTAGTTCTTCGGGGCTGATTTCGTGGTCGACAAGAATGCGGGCCATGTATTTCTGCAGCATTGTTAGCTGTCTGCGTGATGGCAGCTGCGTGCGCATGTGATGAGCTACTACGCGCGAGCTGAAGAATGCAGCATAAGATGTCACGCAGTAGCTTTCAGGTTACACCGAGCTGGGGTAGGAGCTTACCTCGTTGTCGGGATTGTCGAACTCGTAGTTGAGTTCCGACATGGCCTCGTTGATCGTGCGGAAGGACTGTACAATGTTGTTGAAGACGACGGGTTTCCAGTCGAGTCGCTCGCTCTTGCTGAAGCCTTGGGAGTATATGAGCTTCATTTGTTTCAGGATAGTTGATTTGCCCGATTCACCGGCGCCTAAAGGTAACACAGAGATTAGTCGCTGCAAGTCGTAGTAGGAGGGTTCCAAGAAGCTGGCAAGGATTGAGGACGGATTTCGACTCCACATGGCTCAGCAGTGTGCGACCCAAGCTGAAGCTGCAGCAGAACGAGGCAATAGCAGAATAGAAGAAGAAAACGAGAGAAAAAATGTTGGATAATTCTGTGGCGCCGGTAATTAACTCACCGAGAAGCAAAAGCTTGACCTCTTTGGCCATGCGGCGCTCATCCTGGCGGAGCACGCGATCGAGTTCGCGGGAGCGAGCCTCGCCGCTGTCGCTTTTGCGACTGCGGAAACACATCCCAGCGAAGCCTAGGGAAGAAGAGACTCGTCCACAGCCTAAACGGCTACAGGACCTATCGGAGGAGTCGGAAGGGGGCGCCAGTTTCGCGGATAGGCGGGCGGGCTTGGGTAGAGTCGATGCCCGCGGGGTCGAAGGAGCCGGACGAAGAAGCGGGAGAGGAAGGAAGGTATCAAGCGAGAAATGCGACGAGGTTGTGGGCGCTGATGTGGCAAATGCGAGGGCGTTGATGGGGTGCGATGGAGGTAGTGGAAACGCTGCAGTGGATTAAGATGAGGGTATCGTGGCGTAGAGCTTGAGAAAGAGAGGGCCAAGGCCGTCGACGGGCAGAGAGGCGCAATTCAGGGTGTTTGTGGCGCACGTCGAGGCAACGGGTAGAGAGACAGCGAAGAAGAGCTGTTTGACGGCAAAGCTGGGCGCAGTGTCTCGAGTTTGTTTGACTTTTGTCGCTCGGTTGGGAAGCTGACAGGAGCTGGGTAGTGGTGGTGGTGTTGATGAGCAAATGAATGAATTGAAAGCAAGACCGGGAGGTGGACAAAGCGAGACAGCCGATAAAAAAAGAACCAAAACGGGAAGAAGATGAAGAGGAGGGACAGAAAAAAGAAAACCCCAAAAGAAAAGAAAAGAGGGAAGCTGGTGTGTAGAAAGTGGACAGACGGGGTCGGCAAGGTTACGACTGCATACTCCCAAGCAATCCAAGTCCAAGAGCGATAAATACCTGCCTTGTCGTGTAAATTGACTTGGAATCTCCGAGTCTAGGCAGGTCGTTACTCTGTAACTACCTACCTATGTAATAATCCGTAATAATCAAGGACAAGCTGGTCTCCGTCTTGACTCTAGCGTGCTTGCGTGGGCAGAGGAGCGGGGACCGGGCAAGCAGAAGGTAGCATCGAGTGCCATGTAATGTACTCGGTACGTGCTTTTGATTACAGGCGGCGCTCCGTATGCACGACTTGAAAAAGAGCTTCGTAGGACAGAAGAACGTAGAATCCATCTAGTAGCTATTCTTCATTTTCGCCGCTCGAAAAAAGCACGAAAAAAAGGAGCAGACGCGGCCCATCTTCTGCCGCCTACAAACAGAGAGACACGCTGATGACAAGGACTCGAGGCCCGCCAAGTAGCAGCCGCAGTGGAAAGACAGGCCACGGCCCCTCCACTAGGTATTTCCCCATCTACGCCAGATTAAAAATCCAAGGGAAAACTGTGAGAGTGGGTTAATTTAATGTAATTATGTCGGCCAATGAAAACCCCACCGACCAGCGGGCAAGGCCCTGTAATCACTGCAACGCCCAGAAGTTCGACTACCTTATAATCTGAGGTATACAATAATCTGAGCAACCCAACGGAGCATTTATTGCATATACGCCGTATCACAAGCAGCTGATATTTACCAATAACAACCTGTTGCGCGACCATTTACTTGTATCGTTTAAAACATGCAACATCGCGCATTTCATCCATCATTTATCCATCAAGAGATTCCCTTCATGCAGCCCGCAACTCAAAATCCAGTTGCCCACGTCGCGAGTCAATGCGTCGGCAACGAACCGTCCATGCCGTCTCCTGCCACCTGCATCCAGCTGCCACTACTGCAGTGCTAATTCATCCTCTCTGTCCGCTAACCATCGGCCATTTTACCAAAACGTCTACACGGGACGACTTTCACAAAGCAGCCCCCCCTTGGTCACTATTACCCGGCATGCGAGCCGCATCGGGGTGTGTTGTGCTGCCGGACAAAGAGGGGTTGCCCGCTTCGTGATGTGCACTCTCAACAAACCGCCTTGCCGCCTCGCTTCGTTGCAGCCATCTCTCGACTCGTGATTGCCCACCTTGCATAATAATGCAGCCTTGCATATGCAAGTTCGGCTTGTGCTAAACCAACCGCCTTCCAGAATCCTGCTCGACCGCTACAGCGCCCTTTGTCCTCAGCCCTGCCACAAGCCCCAAATTCTGGCTCCGCATCTACGCCACTCTGCTTTCTACTAACTAGTCAATTACCCGTATTGACTACCAGTAATTGGTGAGTTATGGCTAATACCCAGGTTTGCCAAGCGAATCTCCTACGAATCTCTTAGATCACCCTGCGTTGCCTCGTCTGCTTTCACTCTCCGATTCGCGACTTCGTACCTGGTAGAAAAATTCGATAGACTCCAGTGATGCTCTCCACTCTGACTACCACCTCCCAGTCATCGAGCACGGGTCTTCGCTATATAAGTTTCATGCGATATAAGTCTTGTCGCTGTCCAGAGCCAGTCAACAGTCAAGCCCAACTTTTGTTCACAATTGACAAGGTAGCATCACTGTCAGCTCTGCAGGCAACTACATACTCCGTAGCAGCTGTAACAGTAGAGTCGTGCTGTGCCCTTTGCCATCTCCACCTGCGGCTATGCCTTTTTCTTCCATGCTCACGCACAGCTGCATGGCAACTGCCGCTTTTAACAAAAGCATCGTCATGAACCCTCATATAATTACAAGGAATGGACACAGCCCCTGATAAATTGTCTGACTGTATCTGCTCTTCCCTCCATTTTCCAGCCAATATGCACAACGCAGGGCCCCGCCTCTTGCAATCACCGATTCCGGCACTCGCCCGCCTGTTCACCACTATGACTATGAGTCTACAGGGGTGGATTTCTTGCAGCGGCACCAGTCGATGATGAATTCACCAGATGTCCAAGCTCATCAGGCCTGTAGGTATACGTGGGCCTGCCTGCCACCAGCCACCGCATACTGGGTAATTATTACAGCAATTTCCACTCTGAGCGCCATTTGAACTCGCTCGCTGTTGATTCCTCGGGACGTCAGGGCCCAGCTGCTCCAAGTCGTCACTGGCGCCAGGGTACATAACCGCTGCAGCCCTAGATCAGGGTCCAATGCCGCACGTCTTAATTTAAACATGTCGCGAACCTTCAAGACAGGGCGCCTCGAGGCTGGCTGCATACGGTGATACTCAGGACTAGTTACTCATTGCCGTCATTCTCGGAGCGCCCGTCTTCTTTCTGGCTGCATATCTGACTACACACGGCCCAGAGAGGCACACTTGTCCCACACCTGACGATCCTGTCTGCGGCTCTATGTAATTAAAGAAAAGAGAGTCAAGTCCGAGGCCGTCATTATGATTTCTTTTGTTTCCCGAGCCAATCTCCAGTCGACCTTGGAACTCGAGGTCGCACAGGTCATTGAGGACGCTAAGACGGCAAGGTGTGGCACTTGTGGAGTCAGCCCATCATATGCTGGTTCGAGGAAACATGGCAACATGGACTGTAATCCATAGCGCTGAACTTGTTGTCTGTGCATGACTGATCTGGTCCCCGAGGCCCCTATCCTGGTATTGATGTCTTGCTTCCTGACATGCTTTGCAAGGGGAAGAGCTGTACAAGTTACGGATACGCTCCTTGGCATCGTCCTTCGGCAGGCACACATCGAGTGTTTCCACCGTACCAATACCCCTTCTGCGGCATGCTACTACTGCAGTGGCACCGACCGGATTCGATGATCCTCAGATCTGACAAACAGGCCACCCTCTATGGGTCTGCTCCTTATCACGTCACTCCTTGAGCCACACTGCCAGTCTGGCCATGTTTCAAAGGACGCGTTGCCTCTTTGCAAAGTCGTTCATGTGTGACGAAATCGTCGAAAAGTTGTCCTATCTACGCTCCACATAACAGTCTTCTTATACTACCAACGACTTGTTCACTGACTGCTTAATATTATTAGGCAAAAAAGTGGCTGTGATTAGCGTTTCCACATTCACTTTCCCCGCCACTAGAAACGGGTAGTTAGTATGTCGAATTGTTGTTCCAGGCATTGGCAACCCTTCCGGAAACGGGGAGCCAAGAGGGCGAAGCCATATCGCGGCATTCAAGCTGGCTACAGACTTGGTTCCCTGGCCTCATAACGGTCAGGGGCCGGCGATCGACGCTATTTGAAGATGCCCGAGTCACAAGGTAATCTGGTGCCGTCTCCGTGGGCTTCAATTGCAAGGTGGGGGAGTTGACCCCTATTTCCAAGTCCCTTGAAAATGATGACGGGCTACGCACACAAGCGCGTCCGAGCCCGATCATAGCCGCTAGCTTCCGTCCGTCGCCAGGTACCTTGCACATCACAGACGGGCCCTTTTCTTGCTTGACAATACTTGTCAGGCTAGCGTCATCCGCGTCTTGTTAAAAGCAAGACCTATTAAACTCCAAAAGGAGCGGCTCTAGCATCTGAAGAACTGGGTGTTCCGCCTGCGGCCAAACATATAACGATTTTTCGCGTGCTGTACCCATGTATGCAGAAGCTAATAGGGGATGCCGACTGTCTTGAGGCGGGCAAGCACCTATGCCGAAGGGTATCGATAGACGAAGCTTGGCAATGGTGTCCTAGTGTCCTATCTCCAGCTCGGACGAAGCAAGCAACTGTCTCTGGTTCATCACACCGTCGTATTGAGAGCTACGATGGAAAGCATCAACAACATTGAACGTTGACGGTCACAACAGAGTACTCGTCGATGGCAAGCTTGATGCCTCATTCGTACAAGCATTGATTGCAAGTCGAATCCCGTCCTCCTCCCTAATTGATGTCCGACCGACAAATTAATTGCCTTTGTGCAAGTCGTGCACCTCAACTATCTACCTACCTGCATTTCAGCTTGGCCTGGCAGCGGCCTGAAAACCACGAGGTGCATATGCACCGGCCAAAGTAGGACGATTTGTGCCACTCAAAAGCATACTTAAGATATAACTCGGTTGGCAAGACAATGAAGGCAGTGCGAATGAAGCAGTCGCATCTTTTCTCCTCGCATGAGGCTGGTTAATCATACGTGGCTAGGCGTATGTTGCGCTTAGCCATGCCGCGCGGTCTGCTCTATGGACGACATAGTGTAAGCTCATGCGCAATGGATTGCTCAAGCGTTGATTCATCTGATGTTACTGCCTTGTACAATGGCACAACATAACTAGTATGGTAGAGGGTCGGGCGGTCGGGTGCCGCCCCAGAGTGCAATAAAGCAGGACTGAACTGTAAGGGAAAGGGAAAGGGACCTTGAGGGTCAAGACACGACCGACAATGAGAGGTTGCCTCTGCCGTGCATTCGAAAGATACGCCCTTCAGCATAAATCTCTGGAAATTTCCTCTTCTGGGCATTACTCGTCACACCGTCCGCGGGCTCCCGTGCTTGTTGAATGTGTGCCCCGCCATATGACGGCGGTCCCAAATTTTCTCTCTGCCCGCGACTCAATTTTTTTTTTCGCTACCCCGCCAAACGGCGATTGGGCATTCATTGACTTGCACCACTGCATGAGGAAAACTTTTGCGCCTCGACTTTTGGCGCGCCATTTCTGGTTTCCTGTTCCTTCATCATCACGTTTCAACTTATACTCATCACGTCTGCATTGGTCCTGCCCGGCCCTCATACACACATACAAAATGTCCGAGATTACTCACCCTACCATCAAGGGTATGTTTACTGCTCACAAGCTGGAAAATAATGAAGTCGTTGCTGCCCCGCTGCTGTTGCCCCTCCTCGTTCGGACGAAAGAGGGGGAGCTTGAAGCCATCGCAATTGCTCAAGAAAAAAAAAAGGAAAAACAGCTATCGCGATTGATTGTCCCATCGCTAACGTAGACAGATGGCTGGTTTCGCGAAATTTCCAACATGTGGCCCGGCCAGGCCATGACCCTCAAGGTCGAAAAGGTCCTGCACCACGAAAAGTCCAAGTACCAAGACGTGCTCGTCTTCAAGTCGACCGACTACGGCCATGTACTCGTCCTCGACAACGTCATTCAGTGCACTGAGCGCGACGAGTTCTCTTACCAGGAGATGATTGCCCACCTGGCCCTGAACTCGCACCCCAACCCCAAGAAGGTGCTCGTCATTGGCGGCGGCGACGGCGGCGTGCTCCGCGAGGTTGTCAAGCACGACTGCGTTGAGGAGGCCATTCTCTGCGACATTGACGAGGTACGTCTCATCTACCACCCACGTCTCTCATCACGGCGATGCTGACACTCGAGTCAATCAGGCTGTCCCCCGCGTCTCCAAGCAGTTCCTGCCCGAGATGGCCACTGGCCTCACCCACGCCAAGAGCACCGTCCACATCGGCGACGGCTTCAAATTCCTCAACGATTACAAGAACACCTTCGATGTCATCATTACTGACTCTTCCGACCCCGAGGGTCCCGCCGAGAGCCTCTTCCAGAAGCCCTACTTCCAGCTCCTCCACGACGCTCTCCGCGACGGCGGCGTCATTTCTACCCAAGGTTGTATGTCTCATTTTTCTCAACGGAAGAGTCGAGGTGCGCTTGCTTGATGATGGACAGGGGCGCCAGTAGCGAGCCAATCTCTTCTTCAGAGAACTCGTCTCTTGCCAATCGCTGCTATCGGGCTTCTCCGCCCCGTTGCTGCGCTCCTTTGCTCCTAGAGTAGTCCGCCCATGAGCCAGTGCTCGATTTCTTCCGGACTCCAAGTGCCGCTCGGTAGTGCCGGCGTGGCAGGGGTTCCCTATTTTCTTAGAAAGCTGCCATGTCTGATTTCGTATGCTCACTGTTTACTTTGGCCGTCGCTAACATGCCTCTCTCTCACAGCCGAGAACCAGTGGCTCCACCTCTCCCTCATCACCCAGCTCAAGAAGGACTGCAAGGAAATCTTCCCCGTCGTCGAGTACGCCTACACCACCATCCCGACCTACCCCTCGGGCCAGATTGGCTTCATGGTCTGCAGCAAGGACGCCTCGCGCGACGTCAAGGTGCCCGTCCGCACTTGGACCCCCGCCGAAGAGGAGGAAAAGTGCCGCTACTACAATGCCGAGATTCACAAGGCCAGCTTTGTCCTGCCCAACTTCGCCAAGAAGGCCCTTCAATAACTGTGGTCTGTCGGCAGTGGGGTCGGAATCGGTGAAAATAATGTGGTGAACGATATACCATCAGAATTGATATGGATTGCTTGATATATATGACATGTAGACATGAAGCAAGATATAACATGATACAAAATTGTCCTGTCGTTCCCGTGCTTTTGAGGCTATTTGAATTACAGTGAACCTATACCATGTTTTGGTGTGGCATCTACATTGTGCGTGTTGTTGGATATCTACTGCTTCCCCTGTGCTACGTCGGGATACACGTCAAACCGTCGTTGCGTGCGCAGGGGGATGTTCCTCCGCGCCTCCTCAATCTCGTCGCTCACCAGCTCGGCACTCACCACCGTCTCGTCCTCGTGCGCCTCGGCCAGCACCTTGGCCATGGGGCTCACGATCATGGAGTGACCCCAGGCGTGGTAACTGGCGTCCATGTCGCGCGCGGGGCTACACATGACCACGTACAACTGGTTGTCCACGGCGCGAGCGCGCGCCAGCAGCTCCCAGTGCAGCGGGCCCGTCGTCAAGTTGAAGGCGCCCGGGTAGATGAGCGCAAACGCGCCCTTGCGCGCCGCGACGGTCGCCAGCTCCGGGAAGCGCACGTCGTAGCAGATGGCGACGGCGATGGTACCGTACCCCGGCAGCTCCACGAGGGTGAGGCGGTCGCCGGCGGTGAGCACCTCGGATTCCTTGAACGTAATCTTGCCCGGAATGTCAATGTCAAAGAGGTGCACCTTGCGGTGCGTCGCGAGCAGCGCGCCGTCGGGCCCAAAGACGAGACTCGTGTTGTAGTGGCGGCCGGTCGCGGGGTCGAGCTCGGGGATGGAGCCGCCGACGAGGCACACGCGGTTGTCGCGGGCCATGGCGGCGAGGGCGTGAAACGACGGGGCCTGCGAGGGCGGCGGCGGCGAGGGCTGCAGCACCTCGGCGTAGGCGGGGAAGAAGCCGGTGCCGTAGGGCGAGTTGAAGCACTCGGGGAGCACGACAATCTGGGCGCCGGTGGACGTCGCGGCACGGGCGACCTGGGTCGCGGCGCGGTCGAGGTTGGCGGCCTTGTCGGGGCCCGAGGACAGCTGCACGCAGGCGACGGTGACGCGGGGCGTCTTGAGCACGGGGCTGGACGTGTACGAGGCGGCCATGGCGCGGGCGGTCGATGACGAAAAGACCCGGGGAAGAGGAAAGCGGTGATGGTGGTGAGGACGAGGGGCAACAGGGATACAGCGGCGGGCGCCGGAGGGGAGCAGGCTGGGCTTGGACGCGATGCAGCGCAGGACAGCTCTGCTCATGCTCAGGATTTTTAGAGTTGCGAGAGGATCGATGGCGTGACGAGGGGCACTATTTTGTTGTTGGGGTCGCGGGGGTTGAGAGAGAGGGGGAGACGCTGTGGAGAGGGAAAATGCGGAGGTTGAGTTCCGGTCGGAGCTCGGAGAGGTTGAAGATGTGGGGTCGGCGAAGTAGAGGCGAAATCGGCGGCGAACACCCCGTGGCGCGCCTGGAAGTGTGGTTGGGGTCAGAGTAAGACAAGATATTAGTCCAATCTAGATAGCTGTCAAAATTTATCGATAAGCCGCTTGAGAGATTGTGAGTAAGATGAAAGCATGCGCAATGAAAGTATAGTTGGCAGGAAAGCATATAATTATCATTGGCTGATGCCGGGCGACTAGAAAGCTCGGAAGAGGTAACGCTACGGGCGGAATCTATACGGAAGAGAAACCCCAGAGACTAGTGTGACTGGTACGTAAATAGTGGTCTGTTCACTGTGGAATTAAAGTCGGGATCGGAACAGGCTTGGCCAAGTCATCACTCATCACATGGACGGATGACCGACGCAAGCGCAAAGTTGCGCCAGCAACTCATCATATTGTTCGCCGTAAAACAGTATGTAATCATTCTCACGTCACCAACGGCAAGCTTGCAGCGGGGGATGCCAACGTCTGTGCTGTACGCCAACCAACTAGCTCCCGCTACCCGCCCGTTTCTCTCCAGCCTTATTATAGTTGCCATTTGGCGACGAAGGCGCCATGTTGGTTCGTTTCGATGCAGTTACTGGACCAAGCGAGCAATGCAGCACCCCCCCACCTCCCTCCCCTCCTAAACTGACAGAGTCTGCGCTGCATGACGACTGCAAACTGAAACTGTAAACGCACATGTGGGACAAGAGCTTACCCGAGAATTCATGGACAAGCTCAAGCTTCGGCCGAGGAAGCTTGGTTTAACCCC